CGAGATTTTGGCCAGAGGAGAGCATGCGGTAGATGCATTTAAAACTGCCTTGGCTGAAGGCACTGCTTCGGCTTCGAGATTGAAAATCATCGTTGTTGGCGAAGTGGGGGCTGGAAAAACAAGTCTTACTCGGTCTCTTTGTGGTCAACCGTTTATTGATACCCGGGAAAAGACACGTGGAATCCAAACGGCTTCTATAAGTGAACCTATCATAACAAGCAGCAAAGTTGACGAAACGTGGAAACACGCTGACCCCAACGAGTCCCATTGCGATGAACTAACAGCACGATGCGTCACAAAGATTTTAAAAGAAAAGATGCAGAAGGCAAACCTGCCAGGACTACCCTGGACCTCGGAAAATTTTGATTTACGCGAGTTAGTGGACCAACTAGCCGTAACAACTTATCCTGGTTTGCAAACACCATCGATCCCGACTCTGGACTCCCCAGAGTATGTGAGGCGCGTGGTGACCGAGCCATCAGTCACTATTCAAGACTCTCCCCGGAAGTACCCGGCCACCCTTGTCGCCAGAAAATTATCAAGCGCCGCGACTGAAGAATCAAGCGTTAAGAAAATTTTTTGGGATTTCGCCGGGCACCAACTCTACGAACCAATGCATCACGTGTTCATGAATAGTAACAGTCTTTATTTGGTAGTGTTTAATTTATTGAAAATGAGTAAATCTCCTGAAAAAAGCTTGCGCAAGATACACTATTGGTTAAATTCGATCGCGAGTCACACGTCCTCCTCCACTCCAGTAATACTTGTGGGAACCCACAAAGCTAAGGTAATTCCAACTGAAGTTATACGCTTCTGTATCAAAACGTTTGCACGTAGATTGAATACCTGCATCAGGCTACTAATTGTCGCAATCACTAGCTTCATTTCAGTACACAGTCCAGCAACGCTTGCAGAGACCAGTGTACTATATATGTATATACTCAATTCATTTGCACCGCACGGCTAAAATTAGGGAGCTTTAGCAGTGACTACGAGTACGTACGACTACGAGTACGAGATTCATCATTCTTTTGCGTTGTTTGTTTACGCCATTAGTCAAAACTCGTAGTCGTCAAGCTTTTGAGTACGAGTTTTTTGATAAATTTCGTACTCGAAAGCCCAACGACTACGAGTTTCGGCTGATGGCGTAAGCAAACAACGCGCGAGAATGACGAATCTCGTACTCGTAGTCACTGCTAAAGCTCCCTATTAGCAATAAGCAACCGTACCAACTTTATCTTTCTTGACATTTTCTTTCTACCTTTTTGGGGAACAAGACCTGCCCTTTATAAAGTGAAAAAAGTTGTGTCGCCTTTTCTTCAAAAACTGAAAGAATTTCCCCTGAGCTATGAAAAATTTAGTATTTTATTAGTCACTGTAATTAACAATTAGTTGTTCAGTTTAATCGATATTACGTAATTTACTAGAGTAAACATTTTGGTAGTGCCCCCACCCAATTTCTGAATGGGTCCTCAGCCCTTTTGATCTTCAACTTCGTTGTATAAGAGAGGATTCTTTACAATATTTTATAGGTTGATTCCCAGTTCATTCACACAGCAAGAGGATTTTGTGAAGAGAAATTTGCACATATGTTTGGTAATCGCCTTGTCCGAAGTCTTGATGACGACATATTGTTCGTTGTTGAAAATTCGAATGCCCATGACGATGCTGGAATTGTAAAATTAAAGGATGCAATTGCAAGGGATATCTCTGCTTCGGGCAAGACCTGGTTTGTTAATCAGGAATTACCTCTGAAGTGGCTTCATTGTGAAGAGGTGATTATCGAGCATCAGAAAGATCCAGAGAGCAAGAAATGTTTGGACATCAGTGCTGTGAAAGAATTGCTAGAAGACAAATGCCAGACAACATTTTCTGATCCCGAATTTAACTCGATGTTAACATTTTTTCACGATAGCGGACTAATTCTTCTCCCAGGTAACGTGTACTGTTGTAACATGAAAACATATTTTATGCAATTTTTTAATCGATGTTTTTGGTGTGAAAGTGAAGCTTTAGATGAATTATCGTTTGCATTCAAAGAGAGCAAAAAGAGTGAAATTTCTAAAATTTTTCTGACTTCTACTACAGTCAATGTCATTTTCTCATAGCCGATTTCGATGAAGGCTTATAGTTTAAAGATGGTCTCATTTTAGGAATCATGCACGATGTTAGCGAAGAATCCGTAGGGAAAGATTTGGTAATCTTGTCTCCGCAGTATCTCGTAGATATAATGACCAGCATCCACGAAGTTCCGAAAAATAATGAAAATCACTTTAAACGTCAATTTTCTAACGAATTTAGGAAGCTGAAAGAAGAAGGCCGAGTGGCCGGTACACTACTAGAACATATTTGGAAAGATAAGGTCGAAGATGTTGACGTGCTTGCTGAACTGCTGTCAAGTTTTAAACTTCTTCACGCTCTATATACTGAAAGTGATAAAAAAGTAGCATCGTGCCCCACTGAAGCTAAAGAATTTATTATACCATGCATGCTAAAGGATAAATCTGATGAAAGTTTTAGTAAACGTTGGCTCAAGGCTTGCAAGGATTGGGAAGATCTCACGGAAACTGAACACAAGTTCGTCTTCGATTTTGGCGGCTTCCTGCCTCCGCCTTTGTTCGACTACTTCTTGGTTCACGTCTATCATCACAGCTGCAAATCGAAAGGAATGAAGCCAATTCTGCAAAGACGGGGAGGGATATTCTCAATTTCAAACAGATATTTATTCTGCACAAAATTGGTGTTGAAAGACTGCCAAATTTGGGTCCATGCAAGGTTTGTATATATAAAGCTATTTTACCTGTATTTATTCGTTCTGAAATGATGAATTCTTTATTGTGGTTTTTTAGATGCAAGAAAGGTGAACATTTTTCTCACCTTGCAAGCGTATTAAAGAAAAAAGTCAGCGAAATCTGTCGTCAGTATTTTAAATTTCTTAAATTTATTTGCGGCCCCCCTTGCCCACATAAAGATTGTCCTGGAGCAACATTCAACGCAGATGATCTACAGAGGCCCTGCGAATCAAGCTCGTCTGGAAGCGAGAAAAGTTCTGAGTCAGGTGAAGATGAAGCTGGGTCCAGCACACAAAATCGCGAAGTCACAAGCAGTAAGTGTGGGGACAATGAAAGACGTATCCATGTGATTTCTGTTGATCCGGAATCGTACCATCCTCCGTATTGGTGTCGGTCAGTTGATTTGAGCAAATTGCTATCTCATTGGAATCCAGATTTAAATGTTCAGGTATTATTGACCTAACTGCACGTAATTACAGTTTGTTTTCTCATGCATAACCTAGAATTCCCGCATTTAATTTCTACACAACATCAAGGCGATTCCACGAGAAGGAATTTTGGCATTCGGACAAAATTTTCAGTATACCATTCCCCTACAATTACCAAAGAACTTTATCGTTTTCTACTTAGAACAGTGTTAAATAAAATGAATAGAGGTTTTAAAGGGTCTTAAATTTGACTGCTCAGTGTCAAGAGCATTGCACCAGCATCGCAAAAGCGTAGGTTCGATTCCTGTCGGAGGACCTATAGTTGACTCATTTTTCCATCAACTGACCCTGGCTTGAAATTGAAGTGTGTATAATTGCACTGGAAATTAAGACCCTTTAAAACCTCTCGAATTTACCTAAATCAAGTGAAGTCGATTTACCCTTCAATAAAATGAATTACACGTTTTACTCTTACCAAAAATCTGTAAAGATACAATACATCCTTCTTCAACACATGCATAAGAGATTTTGGTATGGAAATGAAATGTGCATGTTTGGCACGTTCATAAATAACTCCAGAGCGTGAATAACGTGAAATAGATTTTCAAGAGTTCCTTGCAATTGAAAACAGTGAAGTTATGACGAGCTAAAAGGAGAGGTCTATTTCAGATAGATAAATGTCTTCAATCCCACCAGGGCACTGCATATTATATATTAGTAAATGTTAGTAACCAATTTGAGATATTTGCATAGCAAACATGAACGTTTTCTTGATTTTGTAGAAAGAGATCCCATTATCTGCTCTGGTGGAAGAAGACATGGAAGAATTAAAAGAATGTAAGGAACGTTTATTTTGAAGTTTGTTAAAACTGGGTTAATTTGAAAGAAACATCACTTAAACAGCTTTCACCTGTACCTATGTAAGCCATATAAAGTAAATGAAAATCTCCAATTCTTCCAGTATAACCCAGAAGCATTCTTCGAATAACTCTCCGTCAAATATAGTATTTACAGAATGCATGCGCATTTATTTATAAAAAAAACTTTTCTTGTGTGCATTTCAGGTGCTGTGGACGAATGCTGTATAACAAACGTTTCCAACAAACTGGGCAACAACTGGAAGGATTTAGGAAGAGAATTGGGCGTCGAAGAATCAAAAATGGACAATATTTCAGAAGAAAATCATGAACAAAAGGAACGGGGAATTAAAGTAATTTTGTCCTGGAAAAATCGTCTTGGAAGTTCAGCAGTTGTTAGCTTACTGACCAGTGCTCTGAAAAGGATTTCAAGAAAGGACTTAGCAGAGCAGCTAGTGAGTCATTGTAGGAATTGCCACAGCAGCAAGAATTAACAAAAACAATTTAAAAAGTGATCCCTGAACTGCGTCCCGCGCGTGAGCTGATTTTAATTTCCTCAGACGATATTTAATTGCACTGGCATTGTATTCATTCTATAGGCGGTGGAAAAAAGTAACCCCCATAAAAGCTATAAAACCTTCAGTTGATAGCACATAATTATGCTAAGTTCGGGAGGGATGTAGTCTGTGGTGTCGTTAAAGAAAAATTTTATACATGAATCAAATTCTGTTAATTACTTATTTTTAGTTAATTAATTAATTATTTATATCAGTTCATTGGTAATTTACTAAATGCAGTTGAGATATTAGGCATTAGGAACCTTAGATGATCATCTCCACCATTTCATTTTTCCACAATCAGCCGAGGTTCGCCTATTTTCCATCCAACAAACGCTCGCACTCTTATTAACGATCATCTAAGGTCCCAATACGTACCACATTTTCCAATTAAAAAACTGTCATTAGTTGAGACGGATTGTATAGTTACATGCAGTTGTACGTGGGAACTGGCCTTAAAAACATATTGGATTAAATTTAGCGATTTTAAAAATTTCACTGACAAACCTACAACGTTAACAAGACACTATTTCAGCTGAAAAGCGCGACTGTAAATCGGTATCTACAAAACACGTCTACAAAAACACGTCTTGTGACGTGCATGTCTGAAAAAATCCGATCAGAATAATATTTTACCTGATGATATCTAAATTGTTCTTGTTTCCAGTTTAACCATGATGCCATTTATAGATTTTAGAACAAGCTCTGTACTTATTTTAATATCATCAGTTGCCTGGGTTGATTTGATATTGAAATGATGCAATATTGTTGCCAAAACCACCTTTTCTTCCATCAACGCGAATTTTTGTCCTTAAAAAATAAATACGTTTTTTCGGCATGAAACGGATGTTTGCATAGAAGTAAAAAAAGGATTAGAAAACAATCCACTTGGTTATGAGGCTGGGAATTAATGTACGTCGTTTTCAAACTTTGCTATTTCAATTGGTAGAGCAGCGATATAGAACCTAAAGATATGAGCTCGATTCCCACTTATAAGACAACAGGATGTTCGTTGCTCTTCGTAATGCCATTCAATATGAATAGCATGCATGCATGCACACTTTGTTACTTAGCTTACCAATACAGTTTCTAGGACCAGCAGAAAAAGGGATATAAGCATAGGGATTTCGTCCAATGTTATTTTCGGGAAGAAAACGATCAGGATTGAATACATCAGGTTCATCCCACACTTCAGGGTCACGATGCAATGCCATAGGTCCGACGATGACACTGCAACCTTTGGGAACAAGGTGTGGACCTGGAAATAAGTTTTATTGAGTGTCTTTAGTTATAGTTTTATGCGATCCTAATTATATTGTTTTGCCCGTACATGTAATCTTGTGGAAAGTAAACATGGACCACAAAAAAGACTTGCAATTAACGAAAAGATTTTTGCCATCAGGGTGAGCCATCGACTGCTCGATTTTAAAAGCATATTTGGGGGAGTGCAAAACATTATATTTTGAGTTGCATGTACATTAATCAACATAAAGATCATGAAAGATTCCTAGCTTGAAATACTATATCTAAACTGACGATTTGTTTGATGAAAAGAAATAATTACACACTCGTATTACGTGATCCCTAAATGGAACCTAGAAAACACTACTGTGAATCGATCAGTTTGTTTGGTTTATATGTAAAGGGTGTTCAAATGACATACATCAGCTGAGCATTCTTAACTAATCACTCGTTCAAATGAAGAAAATCGCACCGAAAATCGCCGCAAATATTGCAAGTGTAAACGCGGCTTTACAGATGTTTATGAAAGGACAAGCAGCAATATCGCTAATTTCACTCATTATAACTTTCCAAGCTTATCGAGGTTATGATTTAAAATGCACAAACAATCACAGTGAGAACGGCTTTCTTTAAAATTGGAAACAGGGGAACATGCGAACATGGGAACAGGGAAACATGAAAACGGAGAATTACCGAGTGGCTATGTTCTCCCGTTCCCCAGTTCCCCCAAACCCTTGCTCCTCTCTTTCCTACCCCCCGCACCCCAGTTCAACCACCCCAGTCCTTCCAAATTAACACACAAAAGTAACAAAATTGCAAATACTACAATTTATATTATTCATATGGATCAGATCATAATTATACACTTGTATTTTGTAATTAACGCAACATTTGGAGAATTCATTTTGGGTAGCATTTAGACTTTACACAATATGGTTTTGTAAATAGATGCCACTGCCAGTGTAATACATTCCTTAAATATTCCTATAAATACATATATAATCAAGAAGTAGGGCATTTTAGATATTTATAGTATTACAGAAAGTATTTATGTGTTCCAATAAATGTCTTAAAAAGGTAATACACATAATATTGCTATGTTTGTTTGACAAATAATTGAGGTTCATATACAACAGATAAAGTTTTTAATAATGTCTGAAAAGTGCAAATATTACTTATTACTTAATATTTTCATGTTATAAAGTGCACATTGTTGTTTCACTGTAACTAAAAATTTTTTTTTTAACAAAACATAGTCATAATAATTTATCATATTATCCATATGAATAATATAAACTGTAGTATTTGCAATTTTTTTACTTTTGTTTGTTAGTTTGGAGGGACTGCATGGGGAAATGAGGAGCGGGGGAATAGAGAAGAGGGGAGCAGTGGATTGGGGGAACTAAGAAGCATGCAGGAGAACTGGAGAACAGAGCCACTGGGTAGTTCCCCAGGGACGGCCGTCCCTATGTTCTCCTGTTCCCCTGCTCCCATGTTTCCATGTTCCCCATTTTAAATAGCCCAGCGATAACTAATTCCCCAAGCAATGTCTAGGCACAGAATTCACTCACTACATGGAATACCTGGCAACAATCTTGAGGACTTCTGTACAGCACTGCAGATAAATATGTCAAATATGTTAAATTAATTCTTACCAAATTTACACTCCTCTGTCAACTCCCGCCCGATTAATGGGACTGATGGAAACAATCGTAACGCCTCCTTTATTAAAAGTAATTATTTTAAACTCATTTAATTGTTAAAACAGTTCATAAGCATTTTAGCCTATGAAATTAACCCTAAGACGTCACATGACTCTCAAGACATGTTTGTCACGTTCATTAGTATTCTTTATTTAATTCTTCAACCTAATTAGCGTTGTACACAAATTGGAGCAAATTTATTGGTCGAAAAAAATGCGGCGTATTAAAAGTAATTTAAAACACTCGCGTTTTATCATATATAAATAAGTTTGATATGATAAAACCCTCACTATAGATCTCGTGTTTTAAATACTACTTATGCAGCTGGTTATGTCACTTATGACATCACAAGTGCAAATATTAAAATCTGCTTTCAGTCTTAAACGATTTAAACACATATAACTTTACCTTTATGACGCACTCCAAAAAATTTAGGTCCTTAAGTTGATCAGGCTTTATATTTCCATCGTTTGGTAAACATTCTGTAAAATATTTCATGTCGGAAAGCTGATCGATATCATTGAAATTGTTATTTTTCAAAAAATGATCACAGGCAGACAGAGAGACTTGAGATAAAATGTGTATGTATATAGTTGAATTTCTATTTTAGTCACCAAAAAACTCGTCAACTTCTGTTTGTAATCGGGAGAGAATATCAGGATGATGTCCAAGAAGATGGATGGTCCACTGCAACGATGCTGACGTTGTGTCGTGCCCCTGTGAAGTGAAAACAATTAAGGCTCCCACTCACTCATCGCAAAAACTAACTCGAAAGTTCGCTGCCAGTAATCTCATCCAATCACAATGCTTGACAGTTCATTTTAAATAAATGCAAGCACCCGCAACGAGCTTGGGAGTTGATTTTGCGATGAGTGGAAAAGAGCCTTTAATAAACAAGACGCTTGCTAAGCGTTTACTCGAAGAAAAATTCAGTATAAATAAAAGAAGAAGATTGGCAGGCACTCCAAAAACATAGCAGGTTAAAGAATTATCATGGAAACTAATAAAATAACAATTCGCTTTGATGCAAAAAATCCGAAACCTCTACTAAACGCATTTAAAGTATTTTTTATAATAGAGGGTTTCGTAGTCATTAATACTGAAACAAGCGCCTGCCAAAAATTTTCGTTTAATTGACGTTTTGCATGCTTACACAATATAAACCTATACGAAAGATCGTATAGGTTTTTGCCATATGAAAAATACAATTTTGGGGAAAAATTTTTATTACCTCAAAAAACGGCTTCATACAAAGAAACAAAATAATTATACCTCAAACATAAAAGTATCCACCTCTTCCCTGACATCTTTCTTTGTTAAATATGATTGATCGTATTCCTCGAGTAATAAATCTAAGAATGCTCGAATGGGACGATTACTTGGCGAATATAACGCCGTTGTATCTGAAGAGCATGGATTTCCGGATTTCTGTGTCTTTCGTTGTTGAATGCGTTTGTTTATCACCTTTAATAACAAGAAAGGTAAATTAAAGACGTATTTTTTATGTTTTCAATAGATTGTTGTGCATTGCTATGTAAACAATACTATGTCCGTGAATTTTCTATAATTATAACCAAATAATGCACCGCAGAGCATTGTATTCGATTATAACCCTTTATAAAAAATCTCGTCCATCTGAATATTTATCCAAAGTTGATAAAAAGAACAAAATGACGCACTTTATTTGTAAAGTCATGGAGAATATTTAAATTTTTTCGATGCTTCTTTCCAGATGACGTCATATTATATATCAGATCAGGCCAGAGCCATGGTGACTTTTGGCGTTCTTGAACAAGTTCACTCATGCTGAAAAACAAAAAAATATTCCTCGAAGTAGCCCAAAAATATATAGAGATTTTCATCTATTGACGTTCAGTATTATTAATTTCTTTTGTAATAGACATTCCCCGAATTTGCAAACAATAGCTTGGAAACGAGGCGGGCAATGTAATCTATTGTTAGTGGGATGGTTTTCCTTGCCCGAGAACAAACTCGGGAAGTGTCTCCATTTGCTCACAAGGTGCATGTGCCTACCCGAAAAATTAATTTTTCCTAACAAAACTTCCCCATGTAGGCATATTATGATTTTGAAAGCATTAGGGTAACTCCGGGAAAAGAAACCGGGAAATTACACTAATTGGCTTCTGGATGTAATATACCGCTAAAGGGTTAACTTAACTGCATGAACTCTAGTGTGGATTTTTATAAAGCATATCTTGCGGAAGAGTTGCAAAAAGAGTTCAACCTTCCTCCAGTAGGATTTTAAGTTTTGAAAACTTTCCTCAAAATGACGTTACGTCACGGAGTCAAGTGGCAACCAGCATAAAGAACTCATGTATGTGATCAATAATTTAGAGTGTTCAACTTTGAACCTTCCTCACAAACCTCATTCAAAGCAAACCTTTCTCTGAGTGGTACCCGCGTACCCGCAGATTTTTTGCAACTCTGTTTTGCCGGCTTAGCGCAAGTCACCTGGTACTGTATTGAGCAGTAAGCGAGTCATTTATAGAAATGTTGCCCCAAATAAAACCACTAAACATGAATACCTTAATACAGCTTCGGTATATTCAGAATTTCTACCAAATTGAGATTTGATATCAAAACCCATGGACGTTTCTGAAAAATGCAATGCAGCATAATTTATGATAATTTTTGACAAACTTGTAGTTATATTTGATCACGAAGAATCAACGCATAATGCTTTGGCGCGAGAGATAACAAGTAAATAATAGTTTCAGTCAGTTCAAAAATATTCAATTTTCATTTTATTTCAAATATTTCATGATTTTCGCCATACGCAGTTCTTATATACATTCTCTCAATTTTTGTTTCTCATCTAAATGTATGCAGAGAACTTCGGAAACATATGAAAAGTTTTACCACACAACCTTACCACATATAATATCCAAGACACAATGAGTGATGTATGGAACTATATTGAATTCACCCTTACCAGCTTTGGCCTACAACATAGCAATATTATTATTATATACATATCTTGAGGACAAATTTTAGGGTTATTTAAGGATTAGTGACTGTTGTGAATGTTTTGTTCACAAATCTTGAAATCCATCTTATATTTTAAATGTGAAGTTTGAATTGTTCTCCGTGACTAAAAAACCAAAATTCAATTCAGGCGTCACGGCTTGATACGTCATTATGCATGAGGTCTATTGATTTGACCTCTAATTTGACCTCTAAATTATCTTACCTGCAGTAATTGAACTAAAACAGCGGATTGTTTTTGGTAAACGGATACGAAACCATTTAAAATTTTAAAATGAAATGCCGGGGTAAGAAGCCTTCGACGAGATTTCCATTTACTGCCAGCGCTGAAAAGTAAAAGATAAAATATACTTATTGTAGTAGAAAAATGGCCCAAAAAATTAAATTTTTGGTTTTGGATATGTAGGGACGACTGTTTCTTTCCAAAAGCAACTCGGTATAATTAGATTGTTAAAAAAATAAATAATTTAATACTGGTTGTCTCAGATCCTTCTCTTTTAAACCAATTTTTTTCATTGTGTAAAACAAGAGGATTTTTTTTAACCACGCGTTTTTAGTTGCTTTAACCAATAAAAATTGTCCAATAAGACAAACAAATATAGAAAATCTATCTCTCCATTACACATTTGGTACACTTACAAGTTTGGTACACCTTACTAATACTCTTTCTGAGATAGAATAGAGCTTCGTGTAATACCCGATAGCTGCCACTCATATTACATTTAAGTGCTTCATAATAACATTGAGAGCTGCTAACCTTGTTAAAAGGCCTGAAATTAAAAGAAAAAGTGAAAGAAAAAAAAATAAAGAGAAAAAAGGGTTTCATAAACCTATTCGAAAAAGAGCAAGAGGCCTGTAGCGAGTTACACAAAAACGAGGCTAGTCAGGTTTTCTTCAGCCAAAATAAGTCCAAAATTATTTGTGCATTGCTCGATTTTGATTGAAAGAAATATCCTTTTTCTGGCTTCTGACAGGTCCAGCGGAAAAGTGAAAGTAAGCATGATTTTGAAATTCCGAAAATTGAAATCTAACTAGCCTCGGTTTCGTGTGTCTATTGATTTTTCTGCAGAAACAGAAGTCTCATACCAAAAATAATAAAAATCGATGAAAAACTTTCAAATAGCTATATTATGTCACAAAGAAACTCGGAAATAACTTTTCAGTTTAATCAAAGAAAAAACGAACTCACACACAAAATCACAAATATCATCACTGACTATATATAATCGCATTCGCTTCAACTTATTTCTACTAAAATCATACCTTCGCCAAACCACGGGTGAAGAAAAGTGTAAAGAGGCATTTTCGTAATGTTTTTTTGGCTCGACAATAAAATCTACATCAAATTTAGAAAGTTCATAGTCATTTAATATTTTGACAATTTCAAACTTATTTCAGAAAGACCTTATATAACAAAATTGTCACTTACATAAAAGTATTTTTAGTATATATAATATGTAAAGTATGTAAATACCTCCACAAACTCTGCTTTAAAAATACCAATAAAGGGCTTCGGTCCTATCCATACACAAGTCAACCCTTTCTCCCGGAGGTTCTCCATCCAACTTCTAATCTGGATGTAAAATTCTGTGTAATAATTGTAATACAAAAGATGATGACCTCCGGTTATTTTGTTTAACCACGGTATTCCAGGCTTTAGCGCACAGGAATTGGTAGTATCAAGCATGTTTAGCTTTATAAACGGTGCAAGTCAAAATTATGAGTGCCAGGCTCATTGCTGGCACTGAGCAAGAAAAATTTTATTTTTGTTTGCTCTAAATCCTCAGGAAATGGCCATTTCAGAGAACAGCTAGGTTACATGTGCAACATATATACAATTTCAAGTAATTTCATGTGTAGCATTTTCTATCATACTTTAACAATTAAGAAAGCCAAAAGATATTCAGATAATTATTGAGGGCTATGCCTTGCCCCCTGCTTCCTATGCCCCCAATTTTCACAATTTCACATAATTATAAATACAAATGCTATGTTAATTAGTATGAAAAATATAAGGTATATATACCAGTAATTAACATAAATTGAATAGTCTATCGTTATCTATCATATCGATATGATAAATAACAATAATAGACTGTTCAATTTATGTATTACCAGTATAGGATCATAGGGCAGAGAAAAGTCACATGCAGTTATATATGGCCCACACAAGCTAATTAACCATGTAATTAAGTATTTACTCTGTATTGTTGAACCTATAATCTAGCTCACTAACTGTACTGATACCTAACATATCACCAAATCTTCATTCTGGTTGACTTTAAGCCTATATTAATTGTCATCTCAGATTTACATTAACTTGCTTCTTATATGACGATTATTTGTCAGCTAGACACTAAACTATTGTGTGGACTAATATATACCATATATTAATATACATATAATAATTAATATACAAAGGCTTTCCTGGGAAATATGAAGCTATAAAAATTGTGTTATATTGTATTAAAAGGTATAGGTCAGTAAAAGGTCATCTTGCCAAGCCAGGATATCAATGGTTAAATAAGTATAATATAGGAATTTTTCATTATATGGTCAGATATAGGCAACTGATGCAGGAATCCCACTTAGGTGGTAAGGAAGTGGAATCATATAAACATTCAATAGAGATTACAATTTAGATTATATGCCAAATGTTTTTGCAATATAAATAAAATTTATGGCAATGTTCAGTTCACATATATATAAGTCAACATTGTCCAGCATTATTACATGCAATATTCATGGCATAACAATAACAATAAGTGAGCAATGTATTAGGGAGAAAATACCGACTGCAGGTCCATGTTTCTTGGTTGATGAATGTTAATATAGGTTGCGTCGTATAATTTAACCTGTGATTTAACTGAATTTGATCACTTAAGCAACTTTGTTAATATCGCTTAGCAGTAAGAAGCAAAGCAATTTAATGTAAACCGTTATAAGATATAAATATGTTATTTTACTCATTTAAGCACGACACGGATCTAGCCTTTCAGTCTACGCCACGAGAACCGAATTAACTTACCGTGTGGATCCCTTTTCATTTGTAGAGCATGACCAAAGATAGGCCAAGGTGTTAAAGGAACTGGAATGGAGGACAAAACTTTGCACAATTGAATTCGTTTCCACGCCATCCAAATTAGCCAAACACATATTAGGCATAACAAAATCGTAACAATTATACCGAACAATTCCAATGCCATCATCACAATTTTAATCGATAAAATTAACTGATATAAAATATGTTACGTTCTTGTGACAAACCCAATTAAACCTTTCAGGTACCCAAGCCTTTTAGGTACTTTAGGTACTCTATTTCTCGTTTACATATTTGTTTACATCCCTTGTCCGTACACCACATTGAATGACCTTGATCTTTGTTGCAAATTACAGTGGGTGGGTGGAATAACTGTTTCGTATTTTAACACTGCATGCCGGGTATCCCCACAACGATCAGCTAAATGTCTCAATTTTCACATTCACAATCTTAGCTCTCGTTCTAACTATGCTCAGAGTACAACGGATTTTCGCAACAAAACCGCTAACGAAGAGGTCTGAGCAATCGAAAAAATATATAAAATTTGAATGCCATTCTTTATAAACATTTAAATAAGGGCAACAGCAACTATGTATGCCTTTTAATTTTTAGCTTGTCGCATTTTCTTATTGGCTGATATAGGGTGAGCAGTGAACTGGGTAACTCAATCAACTCCGCCAGTAGTGGACCACCACTGGCACTGGCTTTTCGCCCAGAACGAGCCCTTCGATTCAGAACCAGATTTAAAACTAGCACCCCAAGTTTTACCCACGAACGCTTCGGACTGGAATCGCGTATAAAGAAAGTATAGTCTTTTCGTCGGCTTATCATACCCACCGCAAACCGGGTGTAGCCCCCCCCCCCCCATCCCCCTGGCCCCCACGTTATGCCACTGGTGCTGCCATGCATGCTTGGCCCTTTTATGCGGTAAAAAAATTTAATGCAACTTATCTCTCAAAGACGTTACGTTGCGTGACAAATTGCTTCAAGCTTTATACACAGTATAGAAGTACGTTTACTCTATGCACCGTGTGACTGTAACTTGTCTCGCAAAGATTTTGGCTATTGCAAGGCATTGTTGCGAAAATATTTCGTCACCTCCAAATCATATTTTGAAATTCAAACTGGGTATTTGAAACTGTATATGGGTCGTAGTAATGTCATTTTTACTACGTATTATATAAACTTTAATTATTAATAGGTCTTTTAATTGGTTGTTTTTGATCACGTGGCATTAAATAAAAATTTCCATTCAACTGACGGTGCAATGACACCATGAATGAATGAATGAATGAATGAATGAATCCTTGTGTATTTCTGGCCGCCGATTATTTGTTGAGATATTTGACCAGGTATAATTATCAATCAAGCATTTGACCGTAACGAAAAAGATGGCGGCATGTCTATTTTACCAGATCTAGATTGCATTGCGGGAATTAAGAATGATTGACTGAAAAAAGACGGCAAGAAAAACTTTTAATGACGTGAAATTTTCACACAACAAAGAAAATAACTTCCTGTTTTATGCCTTTCCTTTAAAAGACGTCAGTTCGCTTTTTTACACGATTTCCGACCGCAGTGCATTCTGGTAAAATATACAACCGCCATCTTTTTTGTTATGGCCGTCATTTGCCTTTTTATTGATTTTGCCCTTAGGTTGTGTTGTCTCAAAGTGATTGGTACAATTGTACCACCATAATAGAACCGTACTCTGTATCTTTCCACTCAAAGAGTTGTCGAAACTGCGAATTAGCTTAATAAATCTAAACTAACGAAGTCAGAAACCAGGTCTGAATTCAAGAACATTACAAACTCAAGTAAGTAGTATTAAATCATCATCAGACTATGACATATTATCGATCGCATGCTGGTGAGGTATATACTCAGCCGAGCTGAAATTTAATAGTCTATTCCAGCCGATGCACTAAAATTTAATGAAATAAAAAGTGCTGTATATCCCTGTATGTAATGACTGTATACTTGATTTTGCAGAAATTAAGGCTACTTTGTTAGGAAGATATCCCTGCAAAACCCCTGTCACGTCAACTAAACTCATATTATACCAGATTAAAATCGCAGCATATTTGTTTACCGTCGAGTGTGTATATGCATGTACGTTGGAATACGCCAGGGCTTTTGTGTAATAGCAAATTTGGTCCGAAAAACTGAAATCGGGAATCGGGTTAGTGTGACCAAAGCCAAACGGTTAGTGATAACATGCAGTACCAATAATATTCAGAATAATAAATTATTACACTTGTACTATTTCAGTTAGCTATGCGTAGTTCCAAATGAAATTTGCTAAGAATCATGCTAAATTTCATACCGAGCTAAATTTCAGTGATTTTAAAACTTCCTTCAAACTTACATATTAACAATGGCTTAAATCACAACCAAAGCTCGTGAAAACTGAAACATAATATGGCGAGTAATATTTACAAAAAATACAATTTACATAATGCTTGATTCATTCTCCTGAAATTGTATGCAAATTAAGCTCGTACCAGGCGGCGGACAATCGTCTGACAGCTAGCGCTCTGTAATCTCTGAACTCTCAATTGAGAGAATAAGCAGAATATACATATAGGGTTACAGCCTTTAGGTTATTTGTTCGACGGCTAATTGCGTGAGCGGAAAAGGTTGCAAAATGTAACAGAATTATAAAATTTAAAATCATTAATCATATGATTTTGATATCCGAATCCAAATTTATAAATTTTGTTGATGTATTTCTTTGCAACATATGACTGAGTAAGTAATCATGGTTTTCAATACAGTAAAATTATTATAAAATTAATAGGATTATCTTGATTGTTTTAGAATGTGGGTGGAGCTGTTTTTCTTGATGTGTTGTTTCTACTGTGTTTGGTTCGTTTGGTCAACCAGGAAGCAAAAACAGACATTACCCCCTGGACCATTCCCGTTACCCTTGATAGGGAACGTTCATCTTGTTGGCAAGCGGATGCCCTATTCAATGGAACATCTACGAAAGAAATATGGCGGGGTCTATACACTTTTTGTACCATCAGGAAATTTCGTTGTCGGTAATAATGCATGAAATGCTTGTCAAAAGCAAAGATGACTTTGCAAACAGACCTAGTGGATCAAGGTTAATCAAGAAGAATTTGTTCAATGATAAGGCTATCCCATTCGTCCCATACGGACCATTTTACATTTTTTGTCGCAAGGTCATCACTAATGCACTTCATATGTATGGTGATGGTGTAAAAACCGCCGAAAATCGAGTGCTATATGAGGTCAAGCAACTGATGACGTGTATGGAGGGAGAAAACGAGACGGCATTTTGCCCCATGGAATATCTTTCTCAAGCTATCACGAACGTAACAACATCTTGGCTTGTTTCCGAAAGGTGCGAGCCTGGTGATCCTATTTTCAAAACGCTGCGCGAATTTGTTGATAACGTTTTGTATGTCAGTCACCAGTGGACAAATATCGACTTTTTGCCGTTTTATGAATATCTTCCTTTTGATATTTCGAGGCGATTTCGGCAAACGAAACAAGTACGTGATGAATATTTCGGAAAATTGCTCAAGGAACATCGAGAAACATACCAATCGGGCGAGGTTCGTGACATCGCGGATGCCCTTCTTGCCGCCTATGAGAAGGAGGAAGTTGAAGGGAAAGGAAAAGATATTGGAACAATTGATGATATTACGACTATTATGATGGATTTCTTCATTGCTTCGAGTGATACTACCACAGCTACGCTTAGTTGGTTTATACTGTACATGGTGTTGCATGAAAAGGTAAGTACTACCTAAAAAGTCTTGATTAATAATAACTTCGAAACTGAACAAATCCGCTTTTATCATGAATAAATTTCATAAAATTCTTTACACAAAGGAATCCCAAAGTTGGCTTGAGGTGTGAAATTGAATTTGCTCGCAAATACGCTTGTATATCGCACATCGACAGCATAATTAATCCCGGCGCGCTCTCGGAAATAAAAAGTAAAAATGTCTGGAACAAATGAAAGTTTGAGATTTATGTTTTAAATGTCACCACATATTTCGAGGCAATTTTAAAAACACAAAGATAGTTTGTTATTTGTATTGCCGTACCCCTTTAAAGCTTTGAAATTGTAGTACGTGGCTGTTCATTTCAGATATCATGGGATGCCGTTAAATGTTAAATTTTTACCACTTTCCGTTTCAAATCTAATGGCTTTAGCAATGACTCATTCTATTTATGAAATTTAGGTGCAGAAAAGAGTTCACGAAGAGTTAGATCTTGTTGTTGGCAGAGATCGCACTCCATGTTGGAAAGATGCAGAGAACCTGCCATTTCTACACGCAGTCATATGTGAAACGATTCGCCATGCCTCGCCTGTGCCCTTGCTCGGTAGAAAAACCTTGCGTGATACTACCATTAAAGAATACCAAATCCCTCGAGACACAAAAATTTTGCTAAACATGTGGTATGTAAACAACGATCCGCAAGAATGGAATGAACCGTTGTCTTTCAATCCTGATCGATTTCTTGATGAAAGTGGAAAGTTCCGCGGCTGGAACACGTCCGCGAGTTTCTATCCTTTTGGTGCCGGAATTCGCTCATGTCTCGGGCAGTCACTAGCGAAGATGAATTTGCTTCTGGTAGCGTCCAATTTGCTGCATCATTTCCAATTTAATATCCCTTGTGGAGAGGCTGAGCCAAGTTCGGAATCGCAGCCCGGCGGTGTTTGTTATCCAAAACAATTTTTATTGTGTGCGATAAAACGAAAGTGAGCGAACATCAGATTTAAGAAGTGACATGCACAATGATTTTATATATATAATAATTAAAGTCTCTTGAAAAATGATTTAGTAAAAAAAAGTAAAAACACCAAATAGTATAATAAATATTATTTGGTGATCAGTTAGTAATATAATCCGTTGTTTATATTTAAACGCGACATTGAAATTTGAAAATATATTTGCAAAATAAAAATGTTTACATACTTTACATCAAGTGAGGTTACTAAGGCATATTGAAAATTGAAAATATAAAAATGAATAATGGTACCAAATAACCTATTTATTAGAAGAAAACCGTTTGGAATTTATCAGTCACTCAGCCGTATTTAGTTCAATCTACCTCCTTGGCATAGAGTAGGGGTAAAATGCGGATACGGATTGCGGATAGAAAAATGCGGATGACTGGGTAAAATGCGAATGGGAAAAATCGGATGTGGGGGTAAAATGCGCATGGAAAAATGCGGATGTAAAAGTAAAATGTGGATGGAAAAATGCCGACGAGGGGGTAAAATAGGAAAAAAAGCAAAACGATTTTATATGTAAAGGCTGGAATTTTAAAACTATAAATTTATTGCCTATCTCAAAATTTGTTTATCAACGCAATGGCTGCAGCTGTGTCCCGTTTGTTTTTGATTTCGTGCAAGAGAATGTGCGGATTTATAAAAGCATTTTTGTCCATCGATGTCTCGTTCTTTGGATAATTTCGAGCACAAGTTCGCCACAAATGGACAGATGACACAGTCAAGACATTAACGATGATAAAAATACGTAATAAGACGACAAGTTGTGAACTAATGCTGTGCGTGAGTTTGCTCGCACAAAATCAATTAAATCAGTTGAGTTCGCTTTCCAATCTTGCATGCGGCTAATTCAGTTTTCCAAAAGAAAGGTGGCTGATAGCTCTTCTTATTGGTTTTCAGATATTTTCTACTAGTATACTGGTACAAATATCGTTTGAGGCGTCCTGAAATTGACATTGGGGCCGAGATTTTCTTTAAGTTTTTGTCTAATTTCTTCATAATAATTTTAGGTAATCTAGTGAACTAGTGCGTTTAAATTTAATTAAACTAGTGCTCAAATTTACTTCACTTCAGTGAAGCAGAGTTTAAGCGGGCTGTTAGCTGAGTTAAGGGTTCTTCTGATTTTTCTACAACATCTGCCAACCGAATTTGCTTGATGCCATCAATTAATATTCCGTCGTTCGAGGAGGATGGAGCCGCCTACAGAACAGGTAGCCGCTTTCAGAACAGTTTTAACGCCATTTACGTACATGCAAATCACATTACAAATTACTGAAAGTATAGCTCAATGCATGGGATGCAAATTCTCATTTTCCCGCCTTTTTCTGTTCACTGATCTCTGTAACAACTGGTGTGCGCAGGTTCAGTTGTTTCAATCAACTGTTAATCAACAGGCGTCCTTTTTCAACTTGTTTAAGAAATTTAATAAAATTGAATATGCTTTTTCATAATCTCTCGTGGGTCAGTGGAACAATGTACAGAAATAGCCATGCAGAAAAACGTAAACAAAAAATACGAATAAACATAAAATTGTTTGTTTACGTACATTTTATGTATAAATAGCCTACTTGACAGTTTTACTTATTTTCGCCAGCGAACGCCTTTGGATGCAACAGCGAATATTGCTTTTAATATTGAATTATTAACCGACCAATAACCTTTAATAGTGCTAAAAAACCTGAATACTTGTTAGATCGTAAGAAAAATTCGTAAGCTGGACACAGCCATACTTATCCACTAATCCGCATTTTACCCCCCTCATCCGCATTTTCATATCCGCATTTTCCCATCCGCAATCCGTATCCGCATTTTACCCCTAGGGACACCTTTAGCATATGCATTCTAAGTAATTGTGTCATTTATCATTTATCAAAATAAATGCAAAATAAATGGCCAATGAATGCGTCAATTAAATAAAAAAACTTCTATTTGAGATTAAAATCGATAACTTCTAATGCTTTTTTTTGCTATGTTTTTTGTGTATATTTAGCTAGTAATGTGTAATGATTTTGTGGCAAAATTAATAATAGTGCATGTAACTTTAGAATTTAATAAAAAAGTTAAAATTTGAACACCTAAATTCATAGTACTTCTTGACCTTGAAATTGCTACCGCTACTTTTAGCAACTACCCTTCATTTTCGGAAAACTCTTCGTTCAATCTCCAAGTCTCGTATTTTATACAACAAACTTTTCAGACGTCGCATCATGATTTCCTGACACGTCGACCCGATGGAAATTGTGACAGCCACTGAATGCATGTGCATGGCACAGGAATTGCCACTGTTGAACTTGCTGTAATATAATGTAAACCAAGGGAGCCTAGAATTGGTTATTACCTATTAGACGCCACACCATACTTTTAAGTAGCTTTAAAATAGCTTTTGTTGTTTTTCGAATCATAACTGTCTGAAATCACCGATATCACAGTTGATAGAATATAGTTACATGGTTTGGAGACTAAACAAATGTAAAATACAACTCCTTAACAGTGTTATTGTCCACGTTTATGCAAAAAATTATTCGTCACGTGTCTATTGTATTTTAGCCAAACGTACCAATGGCATTCGTCTTGCTAAGCCCCCCAACCTTGATTTAAAAAATATGTTAATTTAAGATTGCTATTGGTTTATAAGTGTAAATACAATAGGCACGTGATGAGAAAGGAACAATTTTTTGCATAAATCTGCCCCAACATAGTTAATGAGTTGTATTGTAGTTTTATGTCAGTGGTCTCCAAACCATGTATATTCTATAACTGTGCCTGTATGCATTGAGAAGTGACAAAGACAACAGAAGAAACGGTGAGGTGTGTGGACAAGAGGTGTGTGATGCAGTTAATCTATTACAGTACTTATTGAATTAAAGCATGAAAATTCATATTTATTGTTACGCCCGACATGTTTCTGTTGGTCGCGATTGTTTCACGCTTATTAATTTTAATTGAAGATTAATATACAAATAACCGTGATGGGCGTCAATCTAACGTTGATTGAGGGGACCATGAGCGTTCTTTTATTTACACAGTAGAAACAGACATATCGGTCTTGTCGTATTTCAGCTAGTACAGACAGATTGCTTTGTTTTTAGTTTTTCAAGAACTCTAGCACGGGAAATGTATTTTTAAGGAAATGATCTATTTCAGTTCAAGATATATGAACGGTTTGGCCATTTTAGCCGCTTAAAGTGAAGCGATATTCTGTTATGCAAGGCTGATTTGTATTGAAAGGGTATTAATATGAATATATGGCCCCCCTCAATTAACGTTCGATTGACGCCACTCATGAATATACAACCCCAAAAAAGCCTCTAATGATGGCCTGTTTTCTCCTACAAGCTGCATGACAAACGTTTAGCGTTTTCTTGAGCTAAAAAGAAGTGTTTTTGCTTGTGCTTTAAGCCGGACTTTGATTTTGATCGTGCAGAATATGCGCGTGCAGTCGTTTAGCTTCGATCAAGTTCACAGAACATGCGTTCAGTCGTTTAGTGTTGATTGAGTACACAAAATATGCGTGAAGTGTCATTTAGCTTCCATTGAGTACGCTTAGAAGGCGTATTTAGGCTAATTTTAGCATCAAATGTGGTATAACAATTGCCTAAAATAGACAAAACACTTCTCGACGTTTCGACCTGAGGGCCTTCGTGAGGAGAGTTAGCTAGTATGAGCTGATGTTAAGTACAAAGACGTGTGAGTGACGTAATCAGCGGCTGAAGTTAGCACGAAGAAGGGGAAAGTTGATTGAGCCGCTCAACGCCGATAAGATGGTCAAAAATACGTCACATGCAATTTCTTTTGGACAAATTAAGATTGGCGGCGTGGGAAAAAAACTGACCGAATTTAAGACTCTCGCTTTAGCTCGAGTAATTAAAAGGTCAAAGACCACACGAGTCTCCTGCATGCAAGCTCATGTTGTTGTGGCTGTATATTTCAAGTATAGAGTCTGGTTCAAGTGGCTTGGTATATTACGCAGAAGTATCAAAGATGAACTTAATAATTGCTTCACATTGGGAAAGATTAGTCCGTTTTAACTATCGAATGACACGTTTCAGTTCAGTACCAAATGGAGAAAAAAATGAGCAAATGCGAGGCTGATAAAAATAGTTGGTCTGCGACCGGTTGTATTAAAGCCGGAGAGCGCTGGATATAGTGTTTTTTTTAATCGCTTTAGAATCGCTTTTTGTTGGGTATAACTTTGATTGAATCTTATTATCACTAAATCGTCTTCAATAATTTTTTTTCCAAAGTTGAAATTTTATTGCTTTTCAAACATTTTTAGAATTTAGAACGGTTGAAATCACTATCCGGTGGATAGCGCTATCCGGCTTACATACAACCGGCCCCAGATTCGCATATTTTCACTTTTGAGCGTAATTAAACAGGTGCATGACAAAAAGAAAAACACAATCATAAAAATGCCACCGCTTAATTGCACTGGTGTTAAAAGGTTCAGAAGCGAAATTCATCATTAGTTCCAAAGCCCGGCAAAAGGAGCTGTTTTAAGCTGATGGTAGAGTGTACGTTAGTCGCCTTGCTACATATGTGTTATCTTCTTTTATTTCATAACTATTTGTCTTAATCATTAACATGACCAACCTTTTTCTGCAGAACTGTTTAATTCATCATGCTCCTGGAAATATTCATCTTGGTGGCGATTTTATATGTGACTTGGTTTTACCTGTCCACTTATGCAGTCAGACGAAAGTTACCAAAAGGTCCCATACCAATACCTCTGATTGGGAACGTTCTTCAAGTCGGTTTGGATATGCCATTCTCAATGGAAAACCTTCGCAGAGAATTTGGAGACCTTTACACAATTTCTCTGCCCATTGGGACATTTCTTATTTTAAACAACACTGAATTGTTTCAGGAAGCTTTCGTGACAAGAAAAGATGATTTTTCAGGCCGTGTTGACGAATCACAGTTTCCATTCAATGTCATATTTGAAAACAAGGATTTAGGATTTACAAACCACAGCAGTGCTTACATTTTTCGTCGAAGGGTGTTTTCAAATGCCCTGCGCGTCTTTGGTGAAGGTAAAAACCTTGCAAAGGAACGATTGTACAACGCATCCGACAGGTTATTGCAAAAGATAAACAAAACGGAAGGGAATCCGTTTTCAGTGAAGGAATACCTTGGGAAAACAAGCATGATAATCCTATGTGAATGGTTGGTTGGAAAACAGTTCAGTTATGATGATCCGACAATAAAGAAGTTGATAGAATTCAACGAAGAATTTGCTACTGTAATCCGCCCTGGGAGTGCACATTATTTTCTCCCATTTTTGAGGTTCTTTCCAACGTCATATGCGAAATCCCTTCAAAACGTGTTAAACATAAGAGACGGGTTTTGCGGTGAGCAGCTGAAATATCACCTTGAAACCTACAAAGAAGGGGAAGTTCGGGACATAATTGATGCATTCATTGTCCAATTTCGCAATGAAAGGAAAAGGAACGTGATAGTGACATAGGTAGGAAGAACGTATCCCAACAAAAGAATGCTGAACTATTATTTAAGTACGGTTAAATACAGAAAGATTTCCTCGGACTGTGATAATAGTTAAATAAACACGGTATCTTTGAAAGTACGATTCTGCCCAGTGAGATATCCTATATAGATAAAAATTAATACTGATTTATCTTCTGACAAATAAATGTATGAAAACCCATAACACGAAGACGAGGATCGCAAAAAAAACACAATAGGCATTGATCACATTTGTTGCTCTAAAAATATTTTTCATGCCTGTCTCAGTCTAGGATATCTAGTATCATTACAATGACTGGTACGACTAAACCTTTAAATCTGTTCCACTGATCAGACCGGAAAAGTCTTACTATAGTACGATTATTGCTCATGCAGCAGGCATGATTTCGAATTAAGACTGAAGTTTTAATTTTTTTCCTCCTAGGTTCCATAGAAGATATTAAGTTCTTGATAATGGATGTTCTCTTCTCTGCTCACGATACCAACAACGCCATCTCAACATGGTTTATACTGTATATGATATTATACCGCAATGTTTAAGAGAAAGTTCACGAAGAGTTTGACCGGGTTATTGGAGATTCCCGTCTCCCTTGTCTAGAAGATGCTGATAATCTCCCGTATTTTCAAGCTACAATATGTGAAGTTATCAGACATGCTGTTTCAATTGCGTTGATCATGCGTAGAGCTGTACGGGATACCAAAATTCAGGATCACATCATTCCGAAAGGAACAACGATAATCTTGAATCTTTGGAGGATACATCATGATGAAACGAAATGGAAAAGCCCATCCAGATTCCTTCCTTCCCGTTTTCTAAATGAAAACGAACAGTTTATCGGCTGGAAATCTGAGTTAGATTTCTTCCCATTTTCTATTGGTCGAAGGGCTTGTCCGGGAATAGCACTGGGTAAAATGAACGTTTTTATCACTCTATCAAGGCTGTTCCATCAATTTCGATTTGAAATACCACCAGGCTCGCCTAAACCTACCTTAGAGGCGATGACGAGTTCTGTGAGATTTCCAAAGCCTTATGAAGTGAAAGCTATAAAACGCACGAAAGCCATAAATACAGTAAAAACTTAAACTAACATGGAAACTTTGTGTTCGTTAGAATAATAAAGTGAAATTTAGAGGAAATTGCCTTCATAATGAACAGATATAAGATTGTTATTATTAGAAGTGTTATTAGAAATAAAATATTATATAACAATATCGCTGAATGTATCAGGTTTTACTTAGAATCGAGGAAACGTTTGGAACGGCCTCATATTTAAGCTCGATATTTGCGAAAAATTCCGTTTGGTATTTCCCATGACTACCATGAGAATTTGTAATATTGTTACTACGGATCAATGCGCTCTGCTTATTTAGACTCTACCATGCACATATATTCATTTTAAATCATAGAGAACCAATAATGTGTGAGGTAATTAACATACAGTTCCTCATGTTTAAAAGATATAGCAGTTCAAAATGTAAACATGTCGTTTGTTTACATAACGGCTGGACATCACCTTTAAATTCTGGCAGACGGGATTGGAAACACTGGAGTGCTCACTCAATAAATTTGGGTGCGAGTAAACTTTTAGAACACAGTCGTAATACTTTCAATGAAAAATAAATGGCGAAGGAAAGTGTGGACCCTTCAACCTAAGCAAGAAAAGAGTACTCAGTAGGAGCTTGCAATTGACCAAGATGGCAAGAGGCGCTTGCCCTCTACCCCTCCCACCCAAAAAACCCGTAAAATCCTTTTCGCGACTTCGAAAAAATATTTTGAAGGCTTAATATGCAATAATACCGCGAAGTTTAACATGATGTAAATTTTCCTGTCAGCAAGAATAATTATACGAAAAAGCAAAGGATGAGACTCGGACTTAGTTTATTAAACATGACTAAGTTTATTTTGAAAATGATGCGAAATTATAATACACTAACTGAAAATATCAAAAAAGGTAACAAGTCCTATTATGGATGAAAAGAGAGAGTTAAGGTAATGAATTTATTCCTTTTTCAAAGATAGTGCTTTATTGTGAGCGTAGTAGATTCCTTTCATTGCGAGCAATTGATGATGAGTTCCACGCTCAACCACTCGGCCTTGGCGAATTACACAAATAGCATCAGCATGTTGTATTGTAGACAATCTGTGAGCAATAACAAGTGTTGTTCGCCCAATACTGGCTTTGTCAAGGGCTTCTTGAACTACCTAAAGTAAGAAATCTTTGGTTATAATAAAATTTAGTTGAAGCTGATGCAGGAAGCTGATGCAGGAACCTGCACAACTGATTTATGCCGCTACTTTGTGTTCTGTGCATGATACTCAATTCCACATTGTAAGTTCTTTGTTTAAAAATTTCTATTGCATTATTGGTATCTAAACGTATTATATTAAAAGCCACAAGCTATGAGGATCCATGAATCCAAACCTTGTCCGATCTTTTGCAGTATAATGATTTGAATTACCTTCTCACTTTCTGTATCTAAAGCCGATGTTGCTTCATCTAATAATAAAATTTTTGGATCTCTAATCAAAGCCCGTGCTATTGCAATTCTCTGTTTTTGTCCTCCAGATATCAAGGTCCCTTTGTCTCCGACAATTGTGTCATAGCCCTATGCACAAGAGTAGTATTACAAGTCGTTAAACAAAAACACCAATTAACATCATACTTTGAAAGCGATATCATAATCTCAACAATAGTTCCTACTACCGCAAGACAAAGATTTATAAGGGGAATTCAAAGGGGCTGTCGCCCCTGCATGCACACTTTGGTGACTAGGGTTGGAAGGGAGGGATAAAAAAGATAAAATTCATGCTTTATTTTTTTCCGATTTTGATTTCTTTTACTGTTGATATTAGTAAATTATTATTCGGTGAACAATAATATAAGTATATAGCTAACACATGTATATGTATAGCTATGTTGTTGGAATGCCCAATGTTTTGTGTGTCTCACGATTAGCACGTCACCACTATACCGGGAAAATCTAACTGGATATACACATTTACAGCTAATATGACGTTAACAAATTTTTTTTTAAGATTACCTTAGGCAAGGATACGATAAACTGGTGAATATTTGCCTCTTGCGCTGCCTTTTCTACTTCCATGTCAGAAACTTTTCTTGACGTGTCACCAAAAGCAATGTTGTCTCTTATCGATAAATCAAATAAAACCGGCTCTTGTGAAACTACACCTATTTGACGTCGAAGCCACTTCAAATTGAGTTGCCCCACACCAACCCCATCCACCATCTATAACGAGAAGAAGTTTCCGTGAATCTCGGCGAAGAACTGTTTATTGATTTTTATCTTAGTAAAACCTCCATTTTTTTTAATGTAATGTTGTTGTAAAGTTTTTGAAACAATGAAGTTGTTACGTAATTATCGAAAGAGGCTATTGGAAATAAAAGAACAGAAGTCAAATGCTTGAACTGAATTCATAACCGTTTACCGACGTCTCTACATGTAAGTAATCATAAGGTAGACGTCTTACCACATGACCCGCGTTCGTATCATAAAATCTTTCGACCAATGAGACTGTTGTACTCTTTCCACACCCACTTGTTCCTACCAATGCGACGGTCTGACCTGGTTTAACAGTTAGATCAAGACCACGAAGAACTTTCAAGTTTCGTCGGGTAGGGTAACGGAATCTAACACCGGCGAATGTAATCTCACCGTTGCACGTTTCCTGAATGATGAGAACGAGCATATAAAAGTGATCACACAAATATAATAATAAGATAGAACTGACTGGATTCACGAGTTGATATTTGCAGGAATGATATACATACTGTCTAATTAAGAAGCAATGGTATTTTAACAAAGAGAGTGTATAAATCATGCAACACAAAAAGGAAACACCTTTAACACGGAGGCGAGTGTCAGGGGGGGGAGGCTTAAACGCCTGATTGATTGAATTTTCGATAGCAAAAATGCTTATGTAGTTTGATTTAAGTGGCTGGATTTTTTCTTATCAGTTTTTGAGTCAATAAATTATAACATATATAACATACATAACATATAGCTTTTTTTTTTTTAAAGGTCGCGGCTACGTACAAAAAGCCCAAGAATTTCTACGGCTAAAACAAATTGTATAATATAAACGCGCAAAATGGACACAATTGCGTCGTCAGTGATTCCTATAGGCGAGCTATAATAAATGCTACAACAAAGCTACTTGTTGTTTAGTACAAGGTAACATTGCATGGTTCCTAGTATAACTGCGATTAACAAAAATTAGCTGAGGTCATATTAATTTTGATATTGTTAAAAATTACATCCAAGAATACCTACAGCATTTTGTACACATTGTAAAGTTAAATGGTCAATTTTAATTTTACTCACCGGCTTCGATCCATCCTCTGAGTAAACGTCGATGTCGGGGACTGAACCCAGGAGATAAAATACTCGTTCAGCTGCTTCTTTTGCTTTTTTGTAATCCGGTGTTATTGACGCCAGTTGTCCGAGCACAACACAGCAAATCAATACTGTGATTATTGAGCTACACACAAGAGAAAAAAACGCTTTTAAAAGCTATGAAATGCTTGCATGCGTCATTTTAACATCAGAATTAATATGTGTATCAAGGCCAGCTGATCAAGGAAATGAGCAAACAGTTTAATTTTTTCATTGAATTCATTTAGTCACGTACACTATGCTCTTTAGAGTTCGTAAAGTCGGTTAAGCAAGTAGACATATGGTTAGAAGTGTTGGGATACAACTATATAGTAAAACAGGGTTTGCATGTCTTTATCAATTAATATTATTTTTGATTGCTATTCATATGCAAGCTATGTTTAGCGAAAATTGATTGAGCGGTTTTTCAGCGGTTTAAAGCGTCTGTTATGCATACCTGCAACGTAAATGAATTATTTATCTGGTTTAAGTATATCTGAGGTTTTTTTGTGGAAAAAAACAAGAATAAGAAAAAAACCGTCGAAATTAAAAAAATCTGTGATGAGATTTTAAGGCTTTAAAAAACACTTATGTTCCACATTTTCAACCTCGTCAGTTCTTTCTATTATTAAGTTAATACAACTTTATTCAATATCGGAATGGGTTTCCTTACGTCATCATTTCCTCTATATTGACGTCACCTTCTTCAACCAAATATCCGCCATAACGAAATCCTGCTCCATAGCTCAAATTCATGATTCCAAAGAAAAAACCGTTGGAAAGCCCAGAAAAATGGCTAGTTTTCTTTGCCCGTCTGAATGAAACCAAATAACACTAGATTTATAACGACGAAACTGTTAAAAAGTTTAAAGAAATACAAATAAAGTTTATTATCATCAATTTTCATGGGTTGGTCTTCATGTGATCCAGAAACTTTCGTCGTGTTTATAATGTTGTTTATAATCTATTTTGTGAACAGTGAATCTGTGCTGTAACCTGTATGGAATAATCATCTCTTCTTGATATCTTTGGTAGAATTCTTCCTCTCTTCCTAATGATACGACTGTTTGGATATTAGAAAACGTCTCTTCAGCGGTCTGAAAAAAAAGCTTCTTACTAGAACGAATATTTCCCAGTTTTTACAACATTAGACTAATGGGAAATAAGAGAAAAGAACTGACAAAACAGTGCTTCCACTTGAAAAAAAAAATTTCTACCTAAGGGCAGCGTAGATAATTTGAAAGTCAACATGCAAGGCGAAGAAATTATCAATCAAATGACACAAAGTCAGTACGTACGTTGCCACCTCTACTTAGGGATTCTTTTGAGGAGCCGAAAAAGGCGTTCATGAACATCCCACTTCCCACGAGAAGGGGGATGAAAGCCATCATGAGTAATGCCAGTTGCCAAGATGCAGTTAAGGAAACAATTAGGCCACCAATTACGGTCACAATACCAGCAAGAAGTAATCCAAGTTGTGGCCCAGTTGCCTAATAAATACATGCATAAAAATCATAAAAAAGTTTATTAAAGTATAAAAGTTTTATTTTTTCCTATTTTTCAAGTGAAAGTCAAGTCTGTGCATCGGTGTTTCTCATAACAATGTGAGGTCCTGAGATAAAAAGTTTGCCCAAATTTCGCATTTTAGTCGAATTTTTCTCATCAACAACGCTAGTTTATAGCGAACCTAACTGTTGCTAGATATTCAAAACGGATTTGAAAAAGTATAGAAGTTCAAAATGTAAACAAATAATTTCTTTACACACGGACTTGACTTCCGCTTTAACTACAGGGTGTATAAAAAAAACTGCAAATACCATAATTTGTATGCACTTTAGAATTTCAATGATTGTGCAACTAATTACGCTTCTGAGATCTTAGTTCTGCTCTTAACTGAGCCATTCCTAATCGAACTCATGTTTAATTCACTTTGTGTACTTGTTTTGATAACCCTGGGAAACGTATTTTCAAATCCAAGAAGCGTAATTAATTGCACAGTCATTGAAATTCTAATGTATAATCTCATGCATACAAATTATGGTATTTGCAGTTTTTTTGATATACCCTGTAGTTCATGCATGGCTTCGATAAAATATTAATTACTGGGTTTCGCAATTCGCACAAGTGAAGAAAATGTAAGTAAAAATTTTCATGGACCTAAAATTTATGATCGAAACAACCCTATTCACACATATCCTCTGATCATGAATGGTAACCATTCATTTCCCGTTGCCATAAAAAATCTGAGCACTCGTATCAGTAAGATGCATACCCCTTGAATAGACGAAACCTCTGTCGCCAGCCTAGAACAAATTGCTCCGGTTCCATGATTAGGAAGATCATAGTACGAAATTTCCTGTAAATGAAACGTCTACTCGTGAAAACACTCTATAACATTCTGATTTAGACCCTCTCATAGGGGGGGGGGGGCAAAAGGAGCAATTTGCCCCGGGCCCCTGGGTTAAAATATAAAAAATTGTTAAATACGATGACAATGAGATAAAATAGGAGTAAACTGCTTCTATAGTGAAAGGGCCCCAAGCCGTATTTTGCCCCGGGCCCCAAAAATTTGTCTGAGAGGCCCTGTTCCTATTGCCAGGAAATATTCACCACATAGCAATATATCTAACTGCAGAGCAAATTATTTCAATGAAAATTAAGTTCTGGTCAGGATGTTAGTGTCGTTCATCTGTTGCATCTTAAACTCGCTTTTTTTACAATAAAGACGCGCGAATATACAAAGAAAAGGTGCCACTACAATCGATTATTTTTTTCCAAGACACGTGGTTCTGCATGATAGCTTATGTCCAATATGCAGCTACAAAATCTCGCTCGATAATCAAATAATTGGAAAAATTTACATGCTCTCTTTCGATATCTCAATAAACAAATAATTTGAAAAATGTTACGCCTATAGGACATACATGTAAACATTCATAGGTTATGTTTCTCAACGTTCTGTATATCACTTACCTGGCGAAGGAATGCCAGAAATGCTTTCTTTCGTAATCTTTTCGTCAACGCTTCACCAGCCTTCGCCAAATACCAATTCTAAACAAGATAATTTATGCTTGAGAGTATAAAATAATTGTTCAGCTTCTTGTTTTGCTTTTGTGTAATCCGGTGTTATTGATGAAATAAAAGATTGAAAGCGAAGGTTGCGGTAAGTCAAGCAAGTGGCATAGTGTGAAAATTAAACGCCTTAAAATAGGGTTGAATAAGCATGCATACCTGTAAGAATATTCCAATACCACTTTCTAGCCCGATAAGAAGAAACACGACTGCCCACTTTTTGCTCTCATCATCCATTTCTTCGTTTTCATCCGGAATTTTCGGATCATAACTAAATGTCTAAGAGGAAAAGGTGTGAAAGACAGTTTATGATTCGATTAGCGAGACAGAACGATTTATTTAAGCGAGACCTCTATTTGAAGGATAAAAATTTCTGCAATTAATTCAAATTATAATAACGAAAATATACACACATCAAACAGTCCGCCATAAGCTTTTCCGTAGAGAAAGGGAAAGGTCCCGTACAAGATCGAACCAAAACAACCAACAACCAAGTATTTCCATTCTGGAGCGCTCAGTTTGATCAAACTCCTAAATGATACTGGTTTTCTTCCATCATCATCAATCTACAAATTCCCGTATGCAGAAATACATTACGTAAAAACCTATCAAAGAGGTGTCTTCACATGGTTACACGAAAAATTGGCTAAAAGTTATGGCTAAAGCCGGACACGCCATTTAGACTCACTTGTGTTTTCGTAACGAATGAACCGCTTAATGTACTTCCACCAACAGAACCTAGCTTGAACGCTCCATCAATTGCTGAAATTCAAGATCAAACAGCTAGAAAAAAATGCATGCAGCAACCCTGCACCATTTCAAACAAAGTAAAATATTTCATGAATTAGCCAGACCTAACCCTCTAAACTTATATTATGAAATGACTTAACTGAATATAAAGCCGATAGCTGATTTTCCACATTTGAAACAAACACAGTCATTTAAAAATTCAAGTAAATTCACCAATTTTCCTGCTCAATTAGCTATGCTGCATGCAGTTTAAAGATTTTTTATTGATATACAACCTTTTTGTCTTAGCCAATCAGCAAGTCGCTGAGTACCAGTCTGCATGTACTCGTCTAAATTTTGCTCATGTACAATGACTATTGAAAAAATTTTGGACAACATTTGATTCCGCTTTGTTCTCCCGGGTTCCGGGTGTAATTCCTAATCTTCGGACGGAATTAGTACCCTCGCACGGTGCTCCGCACTGGCTCAGGAATTATAGAGTTATTGAAGTTATACGTCATTCGTCAATCAGTTTCTAAGAACCAGAAATACTTAAAGATTTTCCGTGAACACTCACACACACAAGCGCTTCAAGTTATCCGAACGATTCCAATGACTATGCATTTGTTTAAAAGTAGAGGCACCAACCTTCACCCCTCTCAAAATCGTTTTCTGCTCTCATATCATCCTCATCATCGCTGACATCGTCCTTTCCTTTTTCCTACGTGATGGAAAAATTGAAACTAAAGACCAATTTTGCCACTAAGGCCCTGTTCATACGAGCCGGGCTGGCCCGCTTTGCCGGGCTAGCTCGCTTTGCCGGGCTAGCTCGCTTTGCCGGGCTGGTTTATTTTCTTATTCACATGAGGCGGGCTAGCCCGGTAGCGTTCCATCATTTGTTGATGCTTCACAAATCGAAAAATGTTGCTTGCATTGATTACAGCGGTTTTGGGCAGATATATTTCGTTAATTTTTGAAATGTATTGTGTTCTTTTGGTTTGCAAATACATATAAAATGGCGAAATGACGCTATGAAGGTATATTTGTAGAGAAAGCGATCGACGATTTTCAGCCCGGTTTACCGGGCTAGCCCGCCTAGTGCGTTCATATGAGCCCGTTTTGCCGAGATCTCGCCTCGCTCAAGCGAGATCTCGCCAAAGCGGGCTGGCCCGCTTTCCATGTGAATCAAATTTCAAAAACATATAGAAACAACTTAGGAAGCGGGATCTCGCCTCTAGCGAGTCAGCCCGGCAAAGCGGGCCAGCCCGGCTCATATGAACAGGGCCTAAGCGTAGCTAATTCCTCAATCGGGCATTTTTTGCCTTTCGAACTCTCACATGCAATTAAAGTGAGAAAGCGGCTTAGAGGTTTAATAGACTATGTAGCTTTCATAAAATGCAGATGCTAAAATACAAAATGTACAATACAAAACTATCGCTACATTTAATTATACAAATTATTTGGGAATTTAATAAGCATGTGACTTGAAAGGATTTTTTATATACAAGTGGATAAAATTGTCGATACAGGTAGTCGACATTCAGAAATAACTGATTGCCACTTCAAAAGTTGTCTAATCAAAGGGTTACCTGCATTTTCAACAAAGTATGGTAGAGACCCTTCTTTGCCACTAACTCATCATGCGAACCAATTTCTTTAATGTGACCTTCGCTTACAGCCGCGATACTATCGGCATCTCTCACTGTCGATAGTCGGTGAGCTATGATAATAGTTGTGCGACCTTCTCCTGCCTAAATCAAATGGAATGTACAATGTCTTGTAGCTTAAATGAAGATAGTTTGCTAGGAGCTTGTAGGGTTAAAACGTTAAGAATCTAAGGGCCTCCAAAGACTAGGGATTTAGTTGTCGACAATTATTTGTTATTCGACAAATAAAAGTTATCGACAACTAAATAAGTCCGATAAAGGATTCCAAACACTGGCGCTCAAATACTGATTTAGCAATTAACCGAAATAGCGCGGAGATTAACAGTACTCGACAACTAAAACAAAAGTTTTCACACACTAGAAAAACGCCAAAAAATGAGGTCGTCGATAACTATCAGTTGTCGCCTACTACGCTGCTTCGATGTCTTGGGAAAATATCATCTCTGATTCGTTTAATTTCATCGCTTTTGGTAAAACAATGTTTCAACAAATTTTTAATGCACTAAATGGGAACTTAACAAGTATAAGTTGCTGTCTCACCCTATCAAGAGCTTCTTGAACAACTGCTTCACTTTCTGAATCGAGCGCCGACGTTGCCTCATCTAATAACAAGATTTTTGGATTACGTATGAGTGCTCTCGCGATAGCGATCCTTTGCTTTTGTCCACCACTCATTTGAACTCCACGTTCGCCACAAAGAGTCTCGTAGCCCTAAAAATACACAAATACATTTACGAAAATAATAATCCATGTCAAAGGGCTCTCTGGGGGGAAAACAAGCAGGAAGGCAAGGGTATTGGCACCGGTTCCTTAGGCTGTAAGTGTAGGGGATTCGAAAATTCAGATGCGAAACAATAACGCCCTTCTTCCCATTAAGAAATTATATAAGTCCTCTTTAAATTATATTTTGCCCTAAAGGCCCTGGCCTGGTACACGGTGAAATTTTTCCGGCAACTTGCAATGCAATTCCTCTTTTGAGAGGTATAAATTTGGCAACTACCAAACTTTTGTCTTTATTACACTCTATGGCGTTTCTTACACTAACGTTTGAAGACTTTTCTCTAATTTACATCACTTAAAAGTAGAATTGCGTTGCAAGTTGCAAGAAAAATTGCACCGTGTAACATGGCATTAAGCCTCGAATTTCTCAAATAGACCCAATTGTGAATGGAATGTAAATAGAACTTTCTTTGAATTTGATTCGTTTAACACGAATTTAAGAATCTTCATGTCTTAGGCGAGCTGAGTTTACAAAAAAGTCGCATTTTCAAATTACACTTACGTCAGGAAAATTCGTGATGAAGTCGTGTGCATTTGCTAGCCGTGCAGCTTCTTCAATTTCTTTTTTTGTTGCTCCTTCTTTGCCAAATGCAATATTTTCTGCGATGGTTGTTGCAAAGAGGACCGGTTCTTGGTTAACGACGCCAATGAATCGACGAAGATGCCTCACGTTAAATGTTGAGATATCATTACCATCAATCAGTACCTGAACCAGCGAAAGAAAGATGTCCATTCAATGATAGTTTACCAGTGCCATAGGCCGTAGCCAGCTTGGCGATTTAGTCCTACTACGCAAATTATATTTTATTATCATTCATTTCTTTAGAAATTCATTGTTTCACAGTAAATCAATAACAAGATATTATCATAGCAGGCCCAAATTGTCGGGCTGGCTGCGCCGCAGTCGTTTACATGAAGTGTGATGTCAGCATTGCATTTTTACGTGGTTTGCAAACTTTTCTCGTTTTTTTTCGGCACTCGCACACATCGTTTAGGGCACTCGGAAAGACCGATGACGCATTTTAACAACAAAATCCATCCAATAAGACTTAGTATTAGTAACGATAAACGAAATCATTGGAATAATTTCTCATCAAATGTGAATAAACAACTGCCTAAAATCTACAAAAATACTTCTGATCATTTAGACGTACTGTATGCCTAGACCTCTTATAAGGTTGCTATAACGTACAGTGCGAATGAAGGTCCTAATATCGGATAATCGAATTTGTTATCAATTTTGGGCAGCTGTTTCACCACATTTAATAAGGTTAACTGTACGAAATGTACAAAAATATTGACAATCACTGAAAACTGAAAAAATGTGGGTAAAAAACATATAAACGAGTGAATATTTACTCACAGTTCCGCGAAGAGGTTTATAAAATCTCTGCACAAGTTTGACGATCGTACTTTTTCCACAACCACTCTCTCCCACTAATGCAACCCTTTTTCCACTTTTCACTTCCAAATTAAAATCGCCAAGGATCTATTCAGGATATAAAGGTAAAGAGTTCAAGCTCAGTGCGTACAATAACGGAGTTGCCTTCTTTATAACATGCATAATTTCCATCAACCCACAAATCTCAAAACATATTTGCTTATCCATCCCTTTTGAGAGCACCAGCATAATAATCCTAATAATGTTTAGGGTGCATGCATGGAATTTTGGTAACCGGGGAAAACGTTGGGGTTATATCTGTGAACGACAAAATCACTAGCCACCAGAGGCCAGCTGTATGAAAGCCGGACAGCGTTCCCACCGCGGATAGTGGTTTTTTCAACCGTTCAAAAAATGCTCGAAAAGCGATAAAATTTCTTCTTTGGAATACAATTATTATACAGGATCCTTAATTTAGGAATACCAAGATTTAATCAAAATTATTGCAAACAACGGGCTATTTCAAAGCGTTTGAAAAACCACTTTCTGGTGAATAGCGCTATCCGGCTATCATACAACCGGTCCCAGAAAAAGAGATAAACCTAAAGTACCTATAGTATAGTTGGCATATATCAACTAACCTTGACCGCTTTTCTGGTTGGATAAGAAAAATCGACATTCGAGAAAGTGACGTCACCCCTAATAGTCGTCGGCTTTAGGCCGCCATCAGCTGAGGCATCTATTTCGGATTTCTGTAAGAATTATTTTGTTGTCGTCAAATCAGCAATTAGTTATTATTATGTCATCTTAAAATGACTTCTCACAACATTTCATTCATTCAACTTCCACTCAATTTAAATCTTCAACATTTAGCTTATGATTTGTAATAATTCCAACTTATTTTCCATAGAAACATACCCTATCGATGATATGAAATACCGCAAAAGCAGCTCCCTGGGCAGCAGCCAGTGCTTCGCCACTGGGAGCCGCTTGCCCCAACATCAATGATCCTAAGCTCACGGCAAAGAATACCTAAAACAAAATAAATACATGGATTACCTATAATGATTATGATTAACTTGCAATTATCAAATATAGGGTTCTTTCACCATAACACTTTAGCTAGTCCTTTTTAGTTTTTTGGTACCATTCAGTAAGATATAACGTGAAGTATTAAAGATATACCAACATTGTGTCATGAACAATTTTACATAGTTCGATATCTTATTTGCTGGATAGGTGATTAGAAATGAGTTTAAGGCCCATCCGCACTATTCAACCTTGTCGGATCCAATTCACTTCTGACGGATGGAATATAGTTTAAAGCATGTAGTGCATTGGTTTGAGTGGATTTGTTGTCCAATAATTACACATTGCAAGTCAACAAACTTTAAAACATCCATGAGAAGTGATTTGGATCCGAAAAAGTTGGATGGTGTGAACAGACCTTTAACTTGCGCACTGATAGGTCTTGAGCCTCTTCTAGCAAGCAAGGTTTGCCTCATAAAAGATGAATTCTATTGAATAAGACTAAATGTACCCGTACACGGAACCGGGTATCTTAACCTATCCAATTCAAAAATTTGAATAAAACAGTGGCGGATTCTTTGGAAATTCATAGTAGCAAAAAGCATCGTTGTTAAGGTAAGTATACTATTAATATCAAAATTATGCTGAGGTATGTATTCCTAAATTATCAACACTGAAATTGACTGCTTACCAGCATCCCATCTCCAGCAGTGGCATCACCGTCTCGGGTTAACTTGATAACGTACCTTTTAAAATTGATATTGAAATGATTTTAGAGATTTTTCTAAAACACTCATAATTGCAATCAATAGAAGGTCTAAAAACTCTTGAAAACAATAAAATTTCCTATTTCAAGGGTAAGAATTGAATAAACACACTGTGGATTAATCACGTTTAATTGCATGATCACGTTTAATTCTATCAAGCAAATACTTCGATTTTTTCTGCTTTTCCCCTTTTTTTACTGGTAGCAAGAGTGGGTAATTGAAGGATTCTAATGTAATACGGCACAAATTTATAAGTTTTTACCAAAACGAAAGCGCGTAATTGATGTAGTTCACCATCTGAAAACATCCCATGCCAATACCGGTTCCCAAACCTTTCTTGATTCCGTACTTAGCAGCATCGTCCAGCTTTGATTCATATCTAAAAACGGTTGAAATTTAATGATAAAAGTAAATCCGTTTCAAGCACGAGGTGGGCAATTTTAAATTCTGTTAATTCAGTGTTGATCACATTTGTTCGATCCAAATAACTTCTGATGGATGTTTTATAGTCTGTTGTTGCAAACTATGTGGGCAGCGCTCAACTGAAGCCAAAGAAGCAGTATTGCAGAATCAGTTATGACTATGAAGTATAGTTCCGACAAAACTAGATCTTGCAGGTCGGCAGACTGAAAAGACTGATAAACATCCATTTATCTTTCGAATCTAAATTCAATCGGTTTTAGGTGATAAAACACAGGAAAAAATTCGATAGAAATGAATCGAGGGGGAATTCAATTTCAATAGCAGTTTCGAAATTAAAGAGTTCTGTGATAGCTGCCTGTTTTATAGATTTTACGACTACGTAGCCACTGCACATGGAGGATCGCACTTAAATCATGCCTAAATTTGAGGCGAATGTCGAGCTGAGAGAAATTTACACAGTTTCAGCACCAAGACAAACGAAGCTGACGTACAGACGTAGGAAGAAATATTTACTAAAATTATTTTATAATATGCTCTTTAGGGGAGGGTGCAATTTTATTTATCTGTTCATTCAAGACCCAAAATTGAACTCAAATATATTATTCTTTTTCTGCACTTCTGAATTAAACTCACAATTCTGCTTGTTTTAACTCGCCACCAAATGCTGCTACTGTCCTTATCGATGAAATACTTTCTTCCGCCACGTGTCCGGCCTTAGAATACGCTTCCAACTCTTTTGCGGCGTAAGTTCCTGTAAGCTAATAGTGATTAAGACGATCAGTTTAAGCCTTTGATGTGATGCGCTTTTTACCTCGCCTAGCCGGGATAACTCGCTCCATGTAAGCAGGGCTTAAGAGATAAGGGTTTTCGCAAAACCATCTCGTACAAAAATAACTATGCATAATTATTATTATACACGCATTACTTAACCAAACAATAGCATCATAGAGTGGATGTGATATGACAATATACATTCAAATTTCTTCTTCGTCCAACTAAAAATATCGTCAATGTTTTTATTAGCCAGAGGCTAGAATTCCGTGCAAAGGCACCAGGATGGAACTAAAAGGTTGTCGGTGGAAAGTCTTTCCAAAAACGGTTTTGAAAGATTGAAGTACGGAATGTAATTCCCTTAAATTTCTAGTACGGTTGGTTAAGGTTGCTGTATCAACTGTAGCTCCGTCCAACCCCCCTCCCCCCCCCCCAACTAGTTTATAGACACCTTTGGCTCACATTTGCTGGTTGTATGCTTGTCACAATGATGTACAATATCAGTTCACGCTGGCGGATCTTACAGGATAGTTTCACACGTATTAATACATGATATTTACCTTCGACATCATAGCACCGACAATCACCATCAGCGGAAATAGACTAAACATAACAAGTGTCAACTGCCAAACATAAACAAAGCCGATTGCATAACTAACGATAAAGGAAACGATACTTGACAATATGCGCCCATATTTCGCTCCAATACCATCAGCTATCTTGTTTATATCCCTGTATCAAAAACAATTAATCAGTAATCATAGGCGTCATTCTCTTTTTGAAAACAAGGGCATAGCGCTCGGAGGAGTATTGCATTGTTGTGAAAGGGTTTCTAACACAAAGATGGCCCACAGTTGTTGAAAAAGAAGCGGCATATACAATGGTGGTAAATGATACGTTGTGTCGCCAAAAGAGGTTACCAAAAAGAGAGCGATTTCCGGAGCAAAAATACACAAAAAAATTCATAATTCTTATTTTTTCTGCTAGATATAAATAGTAGGAGAAACACAACGAAACTGACAATATTAAAATTGCATTTCCGGACAAAAATTGTGCGCAACGTTTGTGGGAGACATGTCCTCACACCGCTCTCGCGCATGACCCTATTTTGTCACTGTTTGAACTTTTGTTTTGGTTGTCTTCGCGCTATTCTGCCAGCTATTTGTCAAACTCTGCGTATCTGTTGCCAAATCAAATTAAAGCGCCTTTTATGCGTATCGTCCCCTTATCATACGACTTATTCAGTTGAAGATAACGTTGTAAGGTTAACGTTGTCGATCACAAATTGTTGTCCACAACTAAGTCTCTATAGCTTTACTATTGAGAGTAGAGGGTTGTACTATAATAACATTGTTCACGAAATAACAGATAGCCAGGGTGAAATACAACCATATAATTATAGTAAATCGGGTCTGAGCCAATGCGTTGGTTAAGCAATATTCCCATCATGCACCGTTGTAAATTGTAAGCGAATTATGAATATGTACTGCAAAAGCAACAAATTACAATTACACACGTATACATGATTTACGGAAAATATTTTGTCACTTACTCCGTCAAGCGATTGATCAGCTCACCACTAGTGTGAGCATCAAACCATCCAATTTCTTGATGAACAGCACTTCGGAATAACGCCAACCTCATTTTATGTGCTTGCCTCTCAGCGGCTAACCCGAAGAGACCCAATCCCATCCAAGCAAAAAGGAAGTTAGCAATCGAGAAACCGACATACCACAACCCTGTATAAAAATTAAAATTGCATCAACATTATACCATCAAGAAAAAAATTCTTTACTTGAATATTTGGTTTGTATGTGTTTCCACTCACAAAAATATTTTTGCAGCCAACTCAACAGCTAATAAGTGGGTTGGACATAATGGTATTATTTTTTTTTCGAAATCGATTTTACATTTACGGTCCGTGATCGTGAAAATTAATGTGAACGTTTCCCTCAAACTCTTGCCTGCCTGCTCAAAATGTTTGATTTTACACATCATTTATGATATGTAATAAAAACCTATCAAAAGGTAAAAAAACATGGCAGGGAAACCGAGGACTATTTCCAGCAATGTCCAATACGGTAGTGGACGACTTGCGTTTTCGACTAATTTCTTACCTCGGCGATAAAAAAGACATTTTCTGAAAGAGCTTACTAAAATTAGTAAAACTGTAAATTTTTGCGGCGCATTGTTGTAAATTACGGGAAATATAGCCATGCGAATTTGACGAATTTTGTATACTTTTGTATTACGGCGGAAGTTTGTAACTACACAACTTAGTTACACATTACCGCACGTAATACAGAAGTTTACAAAATTTGCCAACTTCGCATTGCTATGCTTTTCGTAATTTACAAAATTTCGCAGCCAAACTTTGCACTATTTTAAGTAAGATCTTTCTAGCAGTGATAATTTATTTTCTTTTAGTCACTTCGGTCGAAAATTAGTCTAAAGCGCAAGTGGTCCATTGATTAGTAAATTTAATTTGGGGTTATTCGGTACCGATATTTGTAGGTGGAGAGGCGGTTTTGTTCGTACAGCAACCACGCTATTTATTTCTATTTTTTTTTCCTTTGGTAAAAACAACTAGCGCTCAGATAAAAGACAATGCCAATTGAATATCAAAATGTATAATAGAACTGACCTATTGTTGTCATCGAGTCTTCTAAGTCAGGTGGATTAGTGCAGTTCGCATTCTTTTGGCAAATAGTAAAATCCACGAAATCATCAACAAGTTCCCCCATCAATACACATTGCACTGGTGCAATAGCGCCAAATATTATACTGCCAATCACGCCAAGGAACATGAGAAACTTGTCTCTGCCATCAGCAAATCGGAACTACAGTACAGATTCATTCGAATCAGTTACAGGCGTTTGACACGACGTGAAAACATGGGAAATCAGAATACATTGAATGCTTGACAGGGGTTAGCACCTGGGATAGTTTGCAGACAACGAACCGTACGGAGCAGCGAGCTTAACCGCGAGCTGTAACGCGAGCGGAGACAAAGACTCCTAGATTATGTATTTCAATGTCAGCCATTGGTGTGCGCAATATACAGTGATACCACTCTATTGCCGCCACTTCAAGAATTTCCAGATGAAGAAAAAAACTTCGCGTCATCAAATGAAAGTTCGTTTTAAGGCTGATTTCCAGTCAGGAAAATTTTCTTTTGGACCGGTCAGGCTTCAGGCTAGCTTCTCAACCAAAACTAATTGTCTTAAACACAAAAGAAAAAAATACGGTCCGATCAGGTCCGAAGGATAATTTTCCTGACTGGAAGCCATCTCTTAGGCACTATTATCATATTATAAGTTCAGTCCAGGTTTTAGTAACACGCAACGTCGCAAACTTTCTGGCAACTTCCAGAATGCTTTGGATTGTTATATGCTTGAAATATGAGCGAATAGACACAATATAATGAAGTCTCTTCTTTTCGACGCAATTTAAAGCCCTTGAAATTGGGAAACATCAAACAGTCATTTACTTTCCGGTTTTACATGGTTCTGTTTTATCCCTTTATCTTTTGGAATTTGGTGTTGTGCATGAAATGTAATAGTTGTTTATTGAAAGTGAAGGCTAGGACTACGTCCACGCGTACGAATTTGGAACAGTGCTCGAAATTCGTCCTGTGCAGGTGTTTTCAATGTAAAAGTTAATGACGGTGTTCACAAGAGGAGGGTAGAAGAGCTCTAGCACGGTTCCAAATTAGTAATATTCAATGTTATGTTTGAAAACTCACCAATTGTCCAACAGGTACTAGTTTCTTTTCATCCGCTGTTTCACTAAAAAAACAGACAATATTGTTATATATATATCTGGCGGTAGATTCCCTCCCAGCTATAGCGGGTAATAGGGACCTTAAAGTGTATATTTTTTTATGCAATGCAATTTTTTCGCGTTTGGGTTTTTATATTTTCTGAAAATTTTTTTTCCCGATCATAAAGATACCAACATTGTCGACAAATTCGGACTATGAAACAAATGGCTTTCACAGTATACCTTATTCATAAACACTAACCCAAGATCGCGTGCACGGCAAACATGGGAAGAAGCGTTTGCATGGGAAGAAGCGAAATTTGAAAAAAAAAACTAAAGAGATGCGCGGAGACGCAATCGGAAATTTTATTGTTTAATATAACAATTATCGGAATCCAGTGTGGGAAAAAAGATTTTGTTGAGCAGGGAAGTTACAATTGTGAGGAAAGAAGGGTAAGGGCATTGACATTTGATCGATTACATGCACGTAGCTACTGGTAGTGCCGTGATATGAAACAAGATGAAATACGTCATGAACTTATAAGATCGCTTCTAATACAGCAATCGACTGGGACTCGTTCTGCAAAACATGCGAAGGAACTCTTCTTGAGCGAGAAGAGCAGATCGGCGGGCCTGGGAAAACTGTTCATATTATTGACTAAAGCTAGTTTGGTAAGAGGAAATATCATCGTGGTCATTACGTTAAAGGACAATGGGTGTTTACTGCCATTGAAGAAGAATCTCTAAGAAGCTTTGTGGTAACAGTTGACAAAAGAGACAAAGCAGCGCTTTGACCTTTAATTAAAAAATATATTGCTAAAGAAATCACAATAGTTTATGACTGCTAGAAAGCGTTTTCGAAACTTCAACTAAAACGGCTATGGCCGGGCACCGTTTATAGTGACTCATTCAAAAAGATGGTGAACAAAGATGGTTTTCATGCAAACAAAATAGAGGGTCGTTGGAAACAGGCAAAAAGAAACCTACCATGTTTTGGTGTGCGAAAGCTGGCATTCTCATCTTACCTAGCAAGGTTAAGACTTGTTTTCGATCTTTCTTAATGATGTTAAGAAAATATACGGTGACTTTTAGAATGCATGATAATGTAAATTTTGCATAACAATGCATATAGTTATGCATGAGTGCCTTTAGGGAGACCATGGTCGCTGCGTAGAGATGTAGATATGTTTCAATATAACCAGGTAGCAGCGTGGCAGCGTCTTCAAACAACTTAGCATCAAATGTGGTATAACTACTACCTAAAAATTAATAGACAAAACACTTCTCGACATTTCGACCTAAGAGCCTTTGTAGGCCCCTCAGGTCGAAACGTCGAAAAGTGTTTTGTCTATTTTATAGACAGTTGTTATACCACATTTGATGCTAAAATGCAAATCAGCATATATGTATGATATAATATTATAAAATTTGTAAATTTATGCATGGCATTTTCATACATCTTGTTTAGATACTAAAGTAAATTTTCCTTGCATACATTAATTGTTACCGTATATTCATTAAAGTGTTTATTTGTGTAGTTATTCAAAATGAATAAAAAGAATTGTTAGTGAGATTGTCAGATAAGCGTACACATGCGATCGTGCATCCGTTCGTGACAGCGCTATCTAAAGGCGATTTTCCACTTACAGCGAAATCGTTCGCTAGCGAAATATTTGCATATTTTCTTTTGAATTGAAAACAGTCAAGTCGCACTAATTTATTTATGCTGTTAAAATTCAAAAGAAAATATGCAAATATTTCGCTAGCGAACGATTTCGCTGTAAGTGGAAATCCGCCTTAATGAATGGGTCATTTGAATGCAACTGCGTAGGCAGTAGCGATTAATTACAAAAATACGGCTTCGCACTGAATCCTATATTTAGTCTATAATGGAGTAGACTGAATTTTAAGATGCTTTTAGTAGGCCGTAGTCAACTAGATATACGGGCCACGCAGACTGTGATATGCTGAGACTGTGAATTATACATTGAATTTGATTATACCGTATATAGCTTTAGATTGGACTGCATTGCCATAGCGAATACGCCGAGTATCCACTTAAAAATTAATAAGGCCCATTTACATTATACCGGTTGCCTCCGGAACGGGTGAAATTTTGAAGCTTTAAAAGCCAGTAAAAAAATTACTGTCAGAGATCAAAGTAAATAATATCTGACATACCAAATCTATCAAACTTATAAGCATTTGTTACTAACCGTTGCCCTTTAAAGGCAAGCGAAGATATCGTTAGAAGCGAATCTGGTGTAGTGCATGCAAACGGCGCTTAAGGCCACGTAGTATAATGCTTAGCTCATTAGCGGAATATTTGCGTAGCAGGTAGCCAGTATGGGAGGATTTTCACTTGCAAAGAGATAGATCGCGTGCAAAATATTTGCATCTTTTCTTTTGAATTAAGAACAGTCAAGTTGAACTAATTTATTTCTGCTGTTATAATTCGCCAGCGAACCATTTCTTGGTAAATGGAAATCCAGTCTAAATATACAGCGTATATATACAATCACAGTTATACACATGCAATTTGAGTCATAGTCTTAGATTCCACTGCTTAGGTAGTAGCCACTAAAAATAACGCTACACATGGATATCTAACTAGTGGACGGGTATTAGCCTTAATATTTGGCTATTTAAGTTACGATCATCACATACGACACGTCATATCCTCTTTAACGGCAAAACTGTGTCAAATAAATAGAGTAAATGACAGCTTCGACAGCGAAACCCTTACACGATTGTCAATGCCCTAGTGATGAGCAAATTGTATCACTGTTCTACGATGTGGTCAAATACATCGGCAACAAATATAAAAAAACTTGAAATAGTACAAAATTTCGCTTGCAGGATTATAACCAATACGATGACATAATATCTACGGAATTGAGACACAATATTAATCACTTACAAATGCACGAACGCACTTGAACCGCTGTATTTATGCGACCAGTTTTTAAAACGGAATGAAGTTCACAAAATGAACACCCGGAATGAACACGAACTCAACATTCCCCCATGTAAAAAGAAGTTTTCGCTGTAGAGCAACAAAAATTTGGAATATGATGAAGAGAAATTTAAAAAAGTTATCTTTTACTTTTAGGAAGCACTTAAAGAAAAATATGTTAGAAAACAATGCTAACGGAAACTTCTCTTAGTAAAAGTATTAGTATATAACAAAGCCTTTTTCTAATTGTAAATATATTTCATAATTATAGTATAGCCAATAACGTAATAGTAGATAGAAATATAACTTTTATTGCTTGCATGTTTGTACATACTGAAATGTACACATTTTATGTATAAAAACAATAACAATAATTTTAATAAAATATTATAAACAATTCATTTGTCAATAGAGATTTGCAGAATATGAGGAATAATTTAACATTATAAAATAAAATTGTCTTCTTAAAGTAAACTTACCCCGAACTGGCTGCTCCTTTTTTTTTTAATTTTGCTTCGAGTGTTTCTTCGAGCAAAATTCCGCCCTCGTCAGTTTCGTCTACCTCATCTTCCTCATAATCGCTATCGGCAGCCGGCTCAAGCTCATAGGGCTGTACAACAGGCGACTGTTCAGCAACGTCTTCGCTATCTGTCGACTGTTTTTTAGCCGTCTGTGATTCCAAGCTTTCGTTATCGGACATCGTGCGATTTTTGCAACAAATAAGTCACTGTCTTGCGAGTCGCGATCGGTAATGTTGTGTTGCTTTCGTGCAGGCAAGCAGCTCAGCTGTGTCACGAATACCCGCTGTGTCTGCATACGTCACAAGTCCGAAACCCTCGGTACCAGTCTTTTAACAATTTACGATTAAAAAATGGGTAATTCCCGTATGTTTTAGGCTGTTTTGAAGATTTTAACTTAACAGCGCTTTTACAACCAAAAATATTTTTTCTTGTCCAGGGCATTAAAGTCTCTCGAAATTTCACAAATTCAGTTTTCATTTTTCCTTAAGGCTGTGTGTGTGCCGGTTACCCGAGATTCAACGAAGCGTGAGAGGACTTTGAGGTATTGAGATAAGTCTTTGTGACATCAAATAAGCACGTGCTATTGTTGTGGTTATTATACGACTGCCAGGATCGTCTGCTTATTTCAATATCTCAAAATCATCTCACGCTTCGCTAAATCTCGTGGATAACCGGGCTTATGTAAACAGCCATAAGATGAACCAAATCTTCGACGTGGACGTCAGATTAAATAAGCCCGGCTTGTTAGGAACCCAGTTTCAAGTAGTTTTACATGCAGTTCTGACCTTGTTTACCAAAAGAAGTCTGTCATAATCTTTATTCCTGTTGTGAAACTGTGGAAATTAAGACAGTATTACTTCATGTCCTGGTCGTCGATTTGGTGCATCTTAGGTTGGATTTTCACTTACCGCGAAATCGTTCGCTAGCAGCTAGCTAATATTTCAGCGAAATATTTGCATACTTTCTTTTGAATTTTAACAGCATAAATAAATTAGTGCGACTTGACTGTTCTCAATTCAAAAGAAAATATGCAAAGATTTCGCTAGCGAACGATTTCGCTGTAGGTGATGAAAATCCGCCTTTAGGTTAGATTTCTACTTACAGAAAAATAGTTCGCTAGCGAAGAATTTGCCAAAATTTTATTTTCTTTAGAATTTTAACAGCATAAATAAATTAGTTCAATATACATGTTCTCGATTCAAAAGAAAATATGCAAATATTTCGCTAGCGAGCTATCTCTGGTGGCCCCCTAGCCCCAACCCTCCCAAAAGGCCCTGGGAACGAAGTTGAGCCTTATTAAAGCGGTTTTCCACAAGGCAAAATTTTTCGATCGAACGAAATTTTACGCTCGAATTTCTTCTCAAATGTGAAGGGAATCCGCTAAGATCAAATTAGTTAACATTCACCGAAGGCGAAGGCGAAGGCGAAGGAAATTCAGTTAGGTAAATTTCTAACGTATGAAGTTGAATTCTGATTGGCAGTATTTGTAATATATGTAAATGTTCATATGCAACTATCGTTTATACTGTAGAATGTGCAAATTCCGAAGAATTTATTGTGCTTTAATTCAATTCGCTAATATCAATTTCGGATCGAACGTAGCGATGTCGGTACCTGTACACGCCTAAACTGTAGATAATTAGATTTCCTAACTTAACGCGTCGTATACATGTCAAGTTGCTCATAATCGTGCAGAGTTTAAAAATATGCAAATGAAACGTTTCTAAGCAAAGCCACAAGAGTCACAAGGTAATAACATTATTTATTTGTGCGGCCCCAAAAACGTAATAAAGAGCAATAAAACTTTCTAGCGATCCCTTTCTATTATAAAACCTTAACTCCCTGTGAAATAACGATTTGTTATCGCTACATGTACAGTGTAGTAATATCATTTGATTCACGATCAGATTTAAGAATTCCAAAATATTCAGTACTATCGGGAATAGAAATATTTTCGTAATAATAAATTCAAGCAATTACTATATGATTTAAAACTGGGATATATTTGCACAGAGCTACATGCACGACGATCCTAGAAAGTTAGTGAGTAAGCTGTATACTGTTTCCCCGAGTTGTTAAATATAAAATTTGTGACATGCCACAGGACCAGAGTTATAACACCTCATGGAAGCAAATTTCATGTTTGCGTTCCGTATACGTATACGTAAGCAAGCAAGCGTTCAGTTCTCCAAGCTGACAACTTTCCTGCATGCGAATAAATTAAGCCGTTTGCCCAATAAGAGCTTGCTATTCTACGGATTCAGCGCTGTTAGCCAATGGGAAACTGTATTTTAACGATTGTTTCGTTCAGTAATGAGACTTTGCATTGCCTTCGGACCTTCGGTGAATGCATGTTAACTATATTCACAATTGAAAAGAAAATTTCGTTCGGTCTAAAAATTCCGCCTAGTTGAAAACCGGAATGAGCAATGGTCATGGTTAAAATCCGTAAAGGCGTGAACTTCTTAGTTTGAACTTGAACAAGTAATCCCAAATTCCCAATGTTTAAAACGTAAACAAACCCGTTGAAATCGTTTACGGCTTTACGCTTCATACTTGAACGCAAATGGTAGTATTAATGATTTATGCAAGTAAAATTCGACGAATGCGATGATAATGTTTAATCTGGTTGGTTTCCTCGCATAATACTGAGGATTCAAAAAAATATATTACTCAATTTACTGACTCTTTTCTTTAATTTATAACTTAATAGAACATTGACTATTTTTGTATGTTAGCGACACTGCGATATTAATGAATTGGTCAGATAATAGAGGGATTAATGTCGATGTATTTAATTAAAGCGTTACATTGTAACGTTTTCCCTGGTTGTTCAGTTACTCACAAAAATATGCGTGGTCTCCACGCGGGATGGGAAAAGTACGTGTAAAGTGTGAAAATGTTGCCATGGCATAATAATGATTTGATTAGGTATATAGTGCGATGAATGTATTGTCTATTGATAGTGTTTCTCTGGTTGGTTTTGGTTTAAAGGCGGATTTCTAAGCAGTGAAAAATGTCGCGCGATCGACCTTTTGCGATCGCTTTCTTTTGAAATACAAACAGACAAGCGGAACTAATCACATTAGATGAACTTGAATGAACACAATGAAGTATAAGCATCGCAAAAAATCGATCGCGCGACATTTTGCACCGAATGGAAATCCAACCTTAAAGGCAATTTTCCATTGCAGTTGCTTTGGCCGCGCGTTTTGTTTTTAGCCCTGTCTTGGTCGCATGGGCGCATTTTCAAGAGCCGCTTCGTTCGCGTGGGTGAAATTATCGTTCTGACAGTAATGAAATCGCCTTTGGAGCGATTGCAGAATACAGACTGTAATTTTTTAAGCGATGCCTACCATGGATACGTGGATGCGTATAGTTAAATTATAGTTTTTTTAACGAGGCGCGTGAATAGGTAAGACAGGAAGGAAAAGTTAATAAGACATCAGAAATATATGACGTAAGATAAATGTAGCTATAAGTTTTTTTTAAGCCGCAACGAAGCATAAGTTAACAAGACATGAGAAATATATGACGAAAGATAAATGTAGCTATATGTTTTGTGTGGATACGTGGATACGCAGTCGTTTAATATTTTCAAGAACAATGTAATGTTTGAAAGTATATAAATGTCATTATTGCCTTGCGATAACAACTACATTATGCATAAATTCTGAATAAAAAATTCGCTATTGAAATAACAATTGGTTATTGAGAATGTCTAAAATTTGTGAACGTGAATGACTACATTAGTATAGGTAAAGGTTTCTTTTTTAAAGGTAATTAGTATAAAGGTTTAAATTTTATCCATACTGAGACTGCGTAATTCACACCGTGCCGGATTTGCTCGTCACGACATCTTCGTTTGCCAATATAAAGCAACCATTATTAGCCAACGCTTTTTTAATTTGAGAAATTTGGTATATTTATTCAGATCTCGGACATTAAAGATCTCTACTGTCTTTTATTAACTTCGCAATTTAACTTGTTCTGATGGCAATCCGTTACCGTGTGAACGGGGCCTGAAGCTTATAGAATCGAGCTTTTTGACAGAGAGTTTTATACCTTCAAAAGGTGCACGACACGAAAGTCTATAACACTGTGAACTGCCTGACCATGCAATGGGTATGAAAATTTCCCCTGACCGTTTGTGATTGCTTATAAAAATGAGACTGCGAATCCGCGTATATGTAATATCATTAGTGGAGGGGTATTCTGCAATTAATTAGCCTTGCTTACAAAGGTAATTTTCCATTGCAGTTGCTTTGCCTGCGTGGGCGAAGCGCACTTTGTTTTTAAGCACCGTCTTGGTCGAATGGGCGCATTTTCGTCTTAACGCATAGCGTGGTCGCCTTATAGCTTAACAGAACAATTAGTTACTGCTTTAATTTAGCGATTTAAATTATACGTTTAGTGATAATAATGAATTGAATAGATAATAGAGGAATACCGGCCATGTGCACGGCACAAACATGAACTGGCGCCGGTTGTACGAAGGCTAGATAGCGCCTTCCAACGAATAGTGATTTTTCAATAGTTGTAAAAAATGCTAGAAAAGCAATAAAACTATATACGCTTAGAGGTAGCAATCATTAAAAAATCTAATCCTCAACATAAGATTACTAACGTCTAAGCAAAGTTATAATAAACAACGGCCAGTGTTAGAGCGACTTCTACCGTGTAACAGACCCCTTCACAGCACTCATAATTTTATATAAGCGCCCTTGACCCCTTTGATTGCTGTGCTTGTATCGCAAATTTCCGACTTCTTCCGGGGGTTTTGTTTGCAGTTACGTACGTGGATATGTATACTTAGCCGTGTCTTATTATCTGAGTACAGGTTTAGCTTCGAAATATTATATTTGCATGAAACATGCTTGTATGAAATAATACCTGAGTAGAGAATCTCTATCGTACAATACATGCAAGTGTTCGAACACTTTTGTGTAGTACTCAGGGTATAAAATGGAATTGTCACACAAATCTATATCACTGTATAAGAACATCCACAAACATTACCTTGCTTTTGACGAAGCTTTAGATCCTATCCTTGAATCATTGCCAGAATGTAGGAGTGGAGTTTTCTCGCTTGACATTGTTGTTCGATTTTGATTTTGATCTGGAACTGTAGTAGCCCAGAACTAATATAGTCTCTCTGTGAAACAGCCAGGATAATGAAGCCACGTTTTTCAACCGAGTGAGAAAGATTTAAAGTTGGCGGTTTAATGCAGCCTGCATGAACAAAGCATGCATGTATCTGTGACACATAACTAGTAAAGGGTGGGTAAATAAACTGATGCTGTTCATATGCAAATTCCCCGCTGAGCCGCAGTAATTTTGACAGAAGTTGGTGATTGATTTAAAACATTACTTGCTCCTTTGGGAGTTAAAATATATTCAAATGTTCTATTAAATTCTAACATAAACGTGGAGAGATTATACCGCGTGTGTCCCAAAAAAGTACCTTCTGTTGAAATCATTCTTTTGTTGTTAAGGGTCCTGTTTTGCGGTGAAAAGATGAATGAAAAAAGTACCCCCTCTTGAAAATTAATGAAGCTTCCGTTGGAATTTGAATGCATGATTAGTGCACAGGTAAATAGCATTGTAATTAGAGGCATTCAAATCCGTGCTTCTCGCTTTACATTTTAGGCATCCGCGAGTTTAATATATAAACATAAGGCATTCAAGTGCAGAGAGCAAACAAAACACGTCGCAGCGACAAATTTCATGGCCTTAACAGGGAAATCTGAGTGAAAACTTTTTCGCTCGGATGGAAATTTGCCGCTGCAAAACGTCACACAAAATCAAGCCAGTTTGGCAACATTTTAACAAAGAGCAACGTGTGGAGCAATATGCATGTTGATGAGTTGTATTTTTCGTAGGCAATAGTGCATGCCTACTTCGTATAGCTATAAGGCCGGTATCAGACGTCGAACTTTTCATGTGCCGAACCTAATCTAATGTT